GGGGTCCGCCGCGCGCAGCATGAGGCGCGCCTCGTCCAGGTCGCCGCCCGCGCAGGCCGCCAGAAACTCGGCGGCGCGCTCGAAGCGCACGGTGCGGACGCGCCGCTCCCCGGGGCCTGGCTCGGCGCCCCCCCGAGCCCCCCATTGCCGCAGCTGCTCCTGCCGCCGCTCGCGAGCCGCGGCCGCCGCGGCCCCCGGTCCCGCCCCCGGGCCGTCCTCGCCCGACATCGCGCCGCCCGCCCGCCGGGAGAGCGAGCGAGCGTACGCCGAGCCCCGAGGAGGAGCCGCCGCCGCCGCCGCCCGCCCGGGGCCGCTGGGAACTGCCGCTGGCCCCGCGCCGCCCGAGGATCAGTCTGCCCCCGCCTGGAGCGCCGACGTCAGCACGCCTCCCCGGGGTGCGCTGGGAAATGGAGTCCGCAAGCGGAAGTTGCTAATGGCAACCTCCCTGCCTCGCTCCGCCTCGAGGCGCACCGGGAAGTCCGCCGCTCCAGGCGACCGGTGGACGGTTGGGGTGGGGGTGGGAGTGAGAGTGGGGGCGGGGGCGCCCCGGGAAATGCACTGCTAGGTTCCACGGGGCCGGGAGCCGGGAAGGATATAATGCTCATTTTCCCACATAATTCATTAATTGTGGGCTCTTTGGTCAGCTCCCTTCAGCTAGAAATAAGCGGCCGGAAAGGACGTTTGTCTTCTCTGCGCGCTCCTTATCCCCAGGACCCAGAATGGAGCTTAAAATTGCGCGACCGATGGGGATCCTGGGTGGCGCAGCGGTTTGGCGCCTGCCTTTGGCCCAGGGGCGATCCTGGAGACCCGGGGTGCATGGAGCCTGCTTCTCCCTCTGCCTGTGTCTCTGCCTCTCTCTCTCTCTCTCTCTCTCTCTCTCTCTCTCTATCATAAATAAATAAAAATTAAAAAAATTGCGCGACCGAATTTCTGCACGAATTAATTAATGGATTCCCGAGGTCGAGGTCAGGGGAAACACCAGGGAGCCCCGCAACCCGGAGACCCTTCAGGGCAATCCCAAATCCCAGCTTTCCGGAGTGGCCACCCAGGTCATGCTGGGAGATAGAGTGGGCAGTCAGAGGTCATGGCCATCGGCCCACAGCGCCAGTGCACGCCGGGAAATGTAGTCCTCAGGGCCACGCCCCTGGAAACACAGTACGTCCTAGGCAGAATCCCAAGCCCCCCAAAAAGCAGGCCCAAGGGCAGGAGAAGTCCAAAGTCCCTCATGGTGACCCTTGGATCACCTCCAGTCAAGGGGCCCAAGGGGCGGGGTCCACAAGGACAGCGCCCCCAGAACCTCCATTCATCCGCCCTTCTTCCGGGGGCCCCCTGCGACGCGGAGCACGCTGGAAAATGTAGTCTAGGCTCTACATGCTCGCAAGCCATGCTGGGAATTTTAGTCCTGGGTGAGGGGTTCCACGTAGCACTTTAAAACACGAAATAAGGGATCCCTGGGTGGCGCAGCGGTTTGGCGCCTGCCTTTGGCCCAGGGCGCGATCCTGGAGACCCGGGATTGAATCCCACGTCGGGCTCCCGGTGCATGGAGCCTGCTTCTCCCTCTGCCTGTGTCTCTGCCTCTCTCTCTCTGTAGCTATCATAAATAAATTTAAAAATAAATTTAAAAAAAAACCACGAAATAATCCTCACTTTAAGTGTCCTGCGCCTAAATCCTGGCTAGGAGAGATAGAGGCACTTTGAGGTCGGATCCAAGACCCGTAAAAATCGCACAGAAAGGCGCTGAAATCTGGATAGCGGCAAGAGCCTTTTTTCTTAAGGGATGTTGGAGGAGCCCACCCACTCCGAAGTAGCGGGGCCTGTAGAAAGAAATAAACTACAAATACCATGAGGCCTGGGGAAAGCTGGCCATAGATATAAAGGGAATGGCAGTCCCGGTGGTTCTTGGGATGTGTAGTCTCTGAACCCCACGCTTCCCACGCGTGGGAAGTGAACCCCACCTCCTTTGCCAGGAAGCTTGAAAAGCAGTTAGTAGGTCGCCTGTAGGTTATGTGCGGTTCTGGTTGTGTGTGTTTCAGTGTGCGTGCATACCCGTGACACCTTATAACTGTGTGCCTACGGTCTTGTGTGTGCCTGGGTGTGTGCTATTCATAGGGATTCATGTTTATCAAGCCTGTAAGTGTTCATGGAAATATGTCTGTGTGTTTTTGTGACTGTGATTGTTTATCTGGGGTGTCTGCCCAACCCACACGACAAAGTGTGAGACGTGTTCCCACCATCAGCTCAATTGGCAATCTTTACACTGCCTGCAGAATTTAGACTTTAGCCTCTATTTTAAAACCTGCTCTGCTGCAATGGTGAAGAATTCCAGGTCCCATGTAGGCAGTGGTAGGTCTGAAGCTTGTTTCTGCCAACTTCCTCACTCTAAAGCCTAGGGCTAATCTTTGTCTCATGGAGTTGTCCAGAGCGTCCATAAGGTGTCTGATAGGTACCAGGTGTTGGCTGGTACAGACATGTTCATATCCCACTCTTTAAAATTATCTTCTTCCCTTTGCTTTTCCATGGAGAAAGTGTTTTCACTGTTTCCTCTCTGTGCTAACACTGGAATTGCAATGCCTAACCTTAGAACTGCAAGCCTTCCTCACTCAGCTGGTGAAAATAACCTCCTTGAGATAAGAAGATGTTCCCTCTTCCCCTGCAACCGCAGAGAAAGAGACGCCCGTCCATGTCATAAAGATGATCCAGATAAAGGAATGAACTAAAGCATCAAGTTTACTCTCTTGTCCAGTGTGAAAACAAGACTAGGCTTATTATAGGTCAGTTCTGATTTCTGATGTTTTTAAAACTGTTCTTGGCAGAGTTATTTACACAAATGAAAGTTTTAAATTTAAGGGACAATGTACTATGAAAGACACCCCATGGCTGACCATCTAGTGACTATCCACATACAAACACATCCCCTAGGTCCTCACACTCACACCAACAGGAAGGAGGCTTTGAATTTGTTAACCACACCAAGAACAGTATTCTCACAAATATCACTCTCGGATATGAGCATGGAAAGACACCCTCCACTTACATGTAGTGTTGAGCCAAAATGGTTACAGAAGAGGGGTTTTATCCCGACGTGTAGAGCCACATTTTCTGGGTCTGTTAACATATGTCTGTTCCTATCCTGTGACGTCCTTCTTCCCTTTCTACTCTATTCCCTGTGAAAAGGTTTGTCTGAACTGTTATTCTTACAATTCCCTGCATCTTAGCCACTGTGGATTTGTTAGGGTGTGCGTTTATAAGATGCCAAACCAGTGGGAGGCACACCCAAGCCTGACTGGCAGGGCTGGTATGACCCCAAGAACCTGGGCTCTTGTCCCTAGGGAGCAGGTGAATGACCCGTGTACAGGATCTATATGTGTAAGCTTGGGTAGCCAAAGGACGGAAGTGCATCCGAGACTGCTAATTGTCTGCCTGTAACTAGTGTTTCCCTCCTCAAAAATAGAACCCTGGTTTTATTTGAAGTGGCAAAACACCCAGCTCGCTCAAGAGTGGGTCAGAGACCTAATCTCCTTTGCCATTAGGCATGGCCAACAAGATGGGAATGAACTTGGGTGGGTGGGGCTTCCAGGAAGGCTCTTAGGGGTTGAATTCAGCTGCAAGGTGTACATTTCTGGCCTTGCCTTCTGCTGTCTTCCATTCCTGCTAGCGGAAGTGATGGCTGGAGCCCCAGAAAGCATACGGTGACCACTGCATGACCTTGTGGGTGGAAGCAGAGCAAAAAAAGCAGGAGTCTCAATTCCTGATGGCTCTTTAGACCTGCCTTTTCTGCCCAGGATTGCCTACTACCTCTTTCTTTTAGGTTCTGTGTGAGAAAACAAACCCCCAATTCACCAAAACCGTTGTTATTTTGGGTCTTCCTTCCTAGCAGCCAAGCATAACTCCTAAATGACATTGTTGGCTAGTGTTGGCATTATAATGGGAAGGGACCCGAGTCAAGCTACTGAAACATGAAGAGGCATTCACAGGATGATCACAGAAGGTCAACAAAATTCTGGGAGCACAAGATTAGGCTGAAATGCATGAAAGAAAACCATATATGTCCCTCCTTAGAAAGAAAAGTGTGAGAGACCACATGGAGAGAGGTCCCAGCCATCCTAAACGGGGCCACCCTAAACCAACCAGTCCCACTGAGCCACAGGAATCCCCAACCGTGGATGCACAAGCAAGCCCAGCCCAGATCAGCCATGCCCAGAAGAACCCCCCCCCCACCGCTGAGCCCAGCACAAACTAGCAACTGACCCACAAACTCATAAACTAAAGAAAATGCTACTATGGGAAGCCAGTTACACGTGAGGTGGTTGGCTATGGAACACAAGCCATCTGATACAGCTGGGTAGCTTTGGGGGAAAAAAAGTATGCAGTTCAGTGATTTTTTTATATTCACTAGGTTGTGCGTCCTAGCATCACAACTAATTCCAAGTATTTTCGGCAGCCGGGCAAAAATCAGCATTCCCCACCCAACCCTCCCCCAGCCCCTGGAAGCCACCCACCTCCTCCCTGCTTCCATGGATTTGCCCTCTAGACAATTCACACATGTGAAGTCACACAATCTGGGACCTTCTGTGTCTGGCTTCTTTCACCAAGTACCATGTTTTTGAGATTCGTGGACATTACAGTGTGTGTCAGGGCTCTGTTCCTTTTTATTGCTGAGTAATACCTCCTCACATCCATTCATCAGTTGGTGGACATTAGGAGTGTTTCCACCCTTTGGGCCGTGGAGCACAGTGGATGAACATGTGTTTTCATTTCTCTCAGGTAGACACTGGGAGTAGAATTACTGGGCCATAGAGTAACTGTGTGCCTAACTGGGTGAGGAAGCACCAGACTGGTTTCCGAAGTGGCCGCCCCATGTTGCTTTCCCAGCAGGTGCATAAGGGCTCAATTTGACCTACCGCTATAGTGACAAGGAGGGTTCTCCAGGCACTAAGTCAAAGGAAGCAGGGAAGCTGGCCACATGCAGTGCAGTAATGACAACCACAGAACTCAGCAGGTGGCCTGCAGGGGGCGTGTTTATTTCAACCACAGATGGGATCCATGCCCCAGAGGCTCTGGCTCAGGCTCTGGCTCCGGGGCCTCACTTCCAGCGACCTCCAACTCTGCCCTTCCCTGCCCCCTTCCGGCTGTAGGAGAAGAGGGAAGGGGTGTCAGGAAGAAGGGGCTCCCCCAGCCTCTAAGATTGGCCCTGCCCTCAACTCAGGGAGTCCACAAGCCCCACCCCCCCAAATTCCCGCTGTCCCTGTCAAGAGGACCGGGCAGGCAAATGCGTTGACCGGGCAGTGTGGTTGATGGTCTGAGGGTTTGCTGACTGGGGCTGTATTGTTGATGGTCTGGGGCCGGGTTCCACCCACCCGCTTGCAGGAGCCGAGGTCAGTATGTTCCTGGGATGGGCTGGGGGAAGGGAGGGATGGGTGACAGAGAGCGGGTGGCAAAGAAGAGGGCCCAAGGCTGGGGTGAAAGAGAGAATGTGGGACATGGGGATAGATGAACAGAGAGCAAGAGAAAGAGAGCTGGGGAGGCAGAGCAAGGCACAGAAGTCACGGCGGGGTTCTCATCCTGTTGACCGTTGGGGCAGTGGGGGGGGATGTCCTGGACACTGCAGGGTGCTGAGCAGCCTCCCCGGTCTCCCCACCTGGATGCTAGGAGCACCTCCAGCTGTGACAGCCACTTGTGTTCCAGCCCCTGTCCAATGCCCTGGGGGGGCAAGACCACCCACCCCACCCTGAGAGTCCTGACTTTGAGGGACACAGAAACAGGGATGGAGACCAAAGAAGAGGGACCCAGGGCAGATGCCAAGAGGGGGCAAGGGACCAAAGTTCACAGAGAGAGGGAGGGACAGACCCCAGCGTCAGAGCGAGGGGTGGGTGGCACAGGGCTCAGCGCCCGAGACACACTTACAACTTCTGGGCATGGCTGATGCGGTTGTACAGCACGTTGATCTGTGTGGGAAAGAGAGACGGGCTGCGGGGATAGCCTGGGAGACGCGTCTGCCCACCCCTGCCCTGCACAGCGCCGACATCCTCCATGGGAGACGGGCCTTACCTCATACTTCTGCTGCTTCAGCTTCTCCATCAGGTCAAACTTCTCAGACTCCAGCTGGTGGATCCAGTCCGACAATTCCTGGGCCTTCTCCCTGGGAGGACAGAAGGGTGGCTGTGGCGCCATCCCACACCCCCAGCCCACAGAGAAGTGCCCAGAGCCACCCCACGAGACTCTAAGTTGGGCCGCACTGTTGCCATTCTGCTAATATCTGAGGCCAAACTATTCAAAGTGAATGGAAGAAAAAGGGTTTCCAGTGTCTGCCCACTGTCTCCACATCCAAAATCCATATTTCCCTAAGGAAGAATGATGTCATGGTTAAGGACCCAGGTTCTGGGGTCCAGAAGCCGATTCAAGTCCCAACTTTGCCATTCTCCTGTTTGTGACTTTTACCAAGTAACCTCCCCTAGGATCCCATTTCCCTCTCTGTAAAATCATGGCTACCTCCTCTATACCTCTTCTCCCATTCTTCCTTAGAAACAACCTTTTGCAATAGGCCTAGTTAAAAAGCCACTCTCCCAAATCTCCTGTGTAAGTAGGGGTGGCCAATGGGGATGAAAACAGGTCCCTGGATAGGGCTCCCAGGAAAGCCTTTGGTTAATTCATTCTGTGCAACTTCTTCCTGCTGCTTGGATGTGCTGGCTGGAGCCCCAGCTGCCACTTTGGACCATGAGGTGATTTTGAGGATGGAAATATCAGGCTAAATGTGGTAGAGCAGAAAAACAGGAGTCTGGGTCTTCAATCATTTTCTAGAGTTTTATACCAGCTGTGAACCACCTAGTCTCAGAATTCTCCCATGTGAGAAAATAAGCCTCTGTATTTTAGGCTGCTATGGACAGGTGACTTTACTAGAAGCCAAGCTTATTCTTAACTGATAAAAAGTCTATTGCACAGAACTGTTATAGGATGTGTAATGCCTGACACGTAGTAAACACTCAATAAAGTCAATGTTACTATAATTTTATTATTATTTACATTGCTTGTTTTGTCTTGCTAGCTACCAGCTTTCCACTGCACTCTCCTCTGGGGCACATTTTTATTTGAAAAATGTTGTAAGACCCTCATATTAGACCCTTTATCTAATGAATAAAATTGAGGTAACTGGATCTAAATATTAGTGGACCCAAGTTATAAGTGAGTGTGTGGTGGAGGGCAGAGAAATAAGAAAAGGGGGAAACGGGGGTGGGGGGATGAGCAGCCACATATTACTTTATGACGGGCTCTGTGAAAATGTGCTCAGAAGGGGGAGTGCAAAGTGATCAGTGGGCTGGAGCCATATAAACACCTCCAAGAGCTGACCCTGTGCATCTTTTCTTGTGCACAGTATCCTCACACTGGTAGTTTGAGATCCACATGGTGGACATCATGGAAATCGGCAAAAGCTACGATTGGGACCTTTTGCTTCTGGAGAGCTGGCAGTTTAACATCTACCATCATACTACTTTATAATGCAGTGAGTACAGGCTGCTGCACCAGACGGCCTGGGGCTCATTCCTAGCACTTACACTTGCAAGCTGTGCAACCCTAGAGAGGTTACTTAACCTCTCTGTGCCTCAGGAACCTCATCTAAGAGGAGGATACTCATAGTATCTACGTCACAGGGTTGTAAGCCCTCCATGGGGCATGGCTGCTGCAGCGATCACAATCATCACCACCACCGCCGCTGCCATCATCATCATCATCATCATCATCATCACCTCACTGACCTTTCACAGGTGTATGAAGTAGACTTTGTTATCCTGGCCTTATTTTGCCAATAAGGAAAGTGAGGCTCAAAGAAATTGCTTGCCATGCCTAGGATCACACAGCTGGTAAGTGGTAGAGCCACCACTGAGCTCCAGCCCCCATTGCTGTGCTGCCTCTAGGGTTGTGGGGGTTTCTGACTTTATGGGTCATACCCCAGGTCAGAGAACATCAGGCTATGGATGAGGCCCCAGAAGGAGAAGCACTCTGCAGTCTTCCCTCCAGTGCTTATCACAAGATGGGGGCTGTCCTGTGAATGGGAGGTAGAGGAGCAGAGGGAGTCCCAGGGGGCAGACACTTGGCTGGAAAGGTCTCACTGACATGTCTGGCTTTAATTCACATAAAGATGGGGCTTCCTGGGCTCAGCAGTTTAGTGCCGCCTTCAGCCCAGGGTGTGATCCTGGAGACTGGGGATCAAGTCCCATGTCAGGCTCCCTGCATGAAGCCTGCTTCTCCCTCTGCCTGTGTCTCTGCCTCTCTCTCTCTCTCTCTCTCTCTCTCTCTCTCTCTCTCTCTCATGAATAAACAGATAAAATCTACAAAAAAAAAAAAAAAGATGGGGCTTCCTGAGTTTCCACAGGACCTCAATAAGTCAACAAAATCTCCTAACTTTTGGTGAGCCATCTTATCTGGCTTCCCCTCATATGACCCCCCAGACTCTACATGTCATGGTAGCCACAAAAAGTGAATCAGTGACATATTTCACTGGAAATACAAGGGAGTCCAGAGAGGGGGACACACTACCTCAAAGTCACACAGCACCAGGGCTCAGACCTGGGCTTCTGCTCTCCCAGAGCTGGGTAAGGATACCCTTATGTCACCGTCTTACAGCCAGCCCCCTCCCACCCTGAGCCCCCATCCCACCGGTATACCGGAGCTGGTCTTCTCCCATGTGGTCAATGTTCAGAGGCTTTTTACGCTCAGACAGGATACGTAGTTTCATCTCCCGACCTGTCTGGCGCTTACCACGCTTTTGTTCTGCCTGAGAGTAGAGAAACAGACACACTGACATGTGGGATGGATCAGAACCCATGGAGCTGAGCTCCTCACCACCTTGTCCCTACACCCAGGAGTCCAGGCCCCCAGCGCCTCCTCCCTCAGGCCCAGGAGTCCAGGCCCCCAGCCCCTCCTCCCTCAGATCCAGGAGTCCAGGCCCCCAGCCCCTCCTCCCTCAGACCCAGGAGTCTAGGCCCCCAGCCCCCACCTTCATGGGGAACCAGAACTCTAAGCCCTCTGTTGCCTCTTCCCTGGAAACATAGACCTTAGGTCCAGAGGAGTGAACTCACCTTGACCAGGTAACCCCCAAAATGGGCTCCCATATTGGACAGAACCTTCTTCTTTTTAGCGTCATCCTCAGCTCGCTTCTTGGCCTCTTCCTCCTCCTTCCGCATCTTCTCCTCCTGAGGGAAGAAAGGGGTTAGCCCTAAGGCCTTGCCCACCCACTTCAGGGAAAAGGTCTGGGATGGGGAGCTGGGAGGAAATCTCACTGGTGAGGTAAGTGAAGCAGGACCAACCAGACACAGTGCATGAGGCAAAGTCAGTGTCAGAACAGGCAAGAATGCAGACATCCTGGGGGTGCCTAGGGGGCGCAGTTGGTTAAATGTCTGCCTTCGGCTCAGGTCCTGACAGGAGGTCCTGGGATGGAGTCCCACATCCAACTCCCAGCAGGGACCCTGCTTCTCCCTCTGCCTGTGTCTCTGCCTCTCTCTGTGTCTCTCATGAATAAATAAATAAAATCTTTTTAAAAAATTAATCACACCTGCAAAGTCCCTTTTGCCATGCAAGGTATCATATTCATAGACTCTGGGCATTAGGATGTGAGCATCTTTGGGAGACCAGTACTTTGCCTACCATGTCACTACTCCTAATCTTTAAAAGTGCTTCCAGGAGTCCTTGATGTCAAGGCAGATCACATATCCAGAGCCTACGCCAATGGGAATATCCTAACCAATCTCCTACAACTAGCTAGCAATTTGCTCCAAGTTGGACAGGTGACCAATCTGCACTCATCCCAGAATAAAGCAGAAGACAGATAAAAGAGAAATTATAGCCAGAGTTGCTAATGGTCACTTGCCATCCCTGCCTGAGAACGGGATGTCCAGTAGGGTGACCAACCATCTGATTTTCCTGGGACTGATGGGATACAGGATTTTCAAGGCCCAGGCCAGGAAAGTCCCAGGCACACCCATGATGACCTCATCACCCCAGGGTCCACAGAAAAATGGGCCCAGGGATAGGAAGACAAAAGCTGAGTCTTTGTGAGCTTGAGTTTCTTGATCCAGCCATGCCTGAAGCAAGTCACACTCCACTTTTCTTTTGGTTATATGAGCCAATAAAATTCTCTTTCTGCTGAATCCGGTTTGGGTTGGGGTTTCTGTCCCTTCCAAACGGAAAGATCCTTGAATGATACAGCACAAGGACTTTCTCAGGACGACAGAAAATATGACAAATGGGAAACAGAGCATCCAGCTGAAGAAGTAACATTTGGTCTCCCTTCCAGGGCAGGGCTGGGCAGGGCAGGGAAGGGCAGGGGAGGCACCCACCGCCAGCTTAGCCTGACGCTCACGCTCCTTCTCCGTTCGGAAGCGCTGCTGCTCAGCTCTCTCAGCTCTGCGCCGCTCCTGGGGCGGGAGGGGTGTGTTGGGGGGAGAGAAGAATGAGGGGGTGCAGGGACGCTGCCTCCCCAAGGAGGTCAAGAGCAGAGATGAGCTAGTTTGAGTGTGGCCATGGACTTGCACCAGTTGCCAGTTCCCATAAGATTCAGCCTCAGGCCTGCACTGTCTGAGAACCATTCCCAGCCCAGCCCCTCACAGGGTGAGGGAGGAACTAGCAGAACCCCACCTCCCTCCACTCACAATGCGCTCTTTCAACGCAATGAGCTCCTCTTCCTCTTTCTTCCGCTGTTCAAAATGCACGTCGATGAGCGTCTGCAGCTCCAGCAGATCTTTCTCCATGCGCTTGCGGTGGATGTCCTGCAGGCCGGAGGGGGGGCGGGGAGCGTCATCCCCAGGCAGTGTGGGGGACCCGCACCCACCTGTGCGCACCTCGGAGGAAAGTCAGGGCAGGGCCCTTGGGGGGGGCAGGCACGATGGACTGGGACAGTTTAGGGAGTCTGGTGGCCGCTGTTCGCGATGCTTGCAGAAGGTGGCACTAGCGACCCACTAGGTCCATTTTAGGGGATTCCCGAAAGAAGGGAGATGCCAGGGACGCCTCTTCCTAATTTGCACAAAGACACCTGGAGACTGGATGTCCCTTACTTACATCGAAGTCCACACGTTCCCCTTCTGGGATCTTGGGGGGGATCAGTGGAGGGACCACAGGCCTGATGGGTGGAGAAGGGGAATAAATGAGCAGCCTGAGCTCCCTGATGGAGCTCCCCAGCTGCTGCTGCTGCACTGTTTACCCTGGCAGCCACCAGCCACGTGTGGTTGGGGCACCTGACAGCTGGCTGGTCTGACTTGAGATTCCATGTGCCATCTGTGAAACACACTGGATTTTGAAAACTTGGTTCAAAGAAATGTAAAATATTTCACTAATGATGCCGCTTATCAATTGATTACATCTTGAAATGATAAAATTTCAGATATAGTGGATTGAATGGAAAAATGCTATGAAGATTAATTTTATCTGTTTTGTTTTACTTTTTAAAATGCTGCTTGTAATATATATTTTTATACATAAATTATATACATAGATTATACGTGGCTTGCATTATATTCGTATTGGGTGGTGCTGCCCTGAGGGGGGTCCACCCTCCATCCATGCCTTCATTAGAATTCTCTCTTCTCTGCTTTTTAAGACAGAAACTTCATCTGATTTCCTTCCTACTCCTCTCGCTGTCACCTCGGTGTCCTGGTCCCCAGAGAGCCCTTTAAAGAGTTTCACCCTTGGGAATCCCTGGGTGGCTCAGTGGCTGGGCACCTGCCTTTGGCCCAGGGCATGATCCTGGCGTCCCATGTCAGGCTCCCTGCATGGAGCCTGCTTTTCCCTCTGCCTGTCTCTCTCTTTCTCTCTGTCTGTCTCTCTGTCTCTTTCTCTCTGTCTCTCATGAATAAATAAAATATTTAAAAAAAAAAAAGTTTTGCCCTTTTATTCGTTCACAGGACACTCCCACAAGGCATGTCATTCATTCGAGTGACTTTGATTATCATCAATTACCAAGGATTCACCAACTCTGTCTCCAGCCCAGATTCTCTTTGAGGTTCCAGACTCAGGTTGACAGGTGCTTCCTGACATTTCCTGCCTTCTCACAAACCATGCTGCCTCTGAGCTCACCAACTTCCCCCAGACTGAGTGGCGGCCATATGGCCCAGACCCCTGGCAGCAGTGCTCACATTCTCCCTCCCCTTGCCCCAGTGGCAAGTCTGGCCTCTTTGCCTGGGCATCTCCCCAGTCTGTTCCCCAGTTTCCACCCCATGCTCCCCGCCCTAGCTCAGGCCTCAGCCCCTTTCCTGTGAACCTTCATGCCAGCCTCCTCCTGGCCCCCCGCCACCTCTGGCTGTTCACCTTCAGTTCATCTTCCTTCATGACTTTAGAGCAGTGTTTCTAACACCCAGAGCTCATCCTTAAGACAAAGTCCAAGCAACCCAGCATTCAAAGTCCTTCTCCATCTGGCCCGTCAGATCCTCCAGCAACTTCTCTCCTCCTTCCCAGATACACACATTTCATGGTTCCCTGGCTATGACATGTGCCTTTGCACCCCTGGGCCTTTGCATATGCTGTTCCCTCTGCATGCAATGCCCTTCCCCTTCCTGCTGCATCCCCTGAGGCCTTCCCTTCTCCAACAAGCCTTCCCAGATCCCAAAGCACACCTGTGCCCCCCTGATCCCCCTTGCTGTCTCACTGAGGTCTGACCCCTCTACTCAAAACCTTCCATGCCTCCTCTACTCAAAACCCCCCATGGCTCCACAGGGCCAGGCTTTCACAGCCCCATGCCTTCTTGCACTCTGCACTCCAGCCATAATGAAATTGGCACCACTGCCCACACCAACCCAGAACTCTCCTTCTTGTGCTCAGATCGCAGCCTCCTTGCATCTCCAAGCTTTGGCCCCAATGTCACCTCCTCCAAGACCCTCCACCCTCACGAGCTCTCATGGTCTCCACAGATCTGCTTATTTTAGGACTTTCATCATCAGAATGACCTGTGTCTCTGTCTGTTCCCTGAAAGCCTGGCCTGAATCCAACCACTGCACCATGCATGCACCCTGTGAAGCTTTCTCCTTTACAATATCCCTCCCACCTCCTTCAGCTAGTGAACTCTTCATCCCTCAGGACTCTAGCATCACCTCCTCCCCTGGGAAGCCTTCCTTGACTGCCTAGGGCAAACATAGTGCCTTCTTGTGTGCTACCCTCACTGTATCTGGGTCTGTTTCACCAACAGAGCAGATGGGTTCTGATATACCAAACACCAAGGGAAGTTCTCTGGACAATTGGCTGACAGAACAAATCCCTGCCCTTTCCTGCTTCAAGGGCCCCACTCTCCTTTTCTGCTTTTCTTACACCCTGTCTCTGGGGGTGAGGGGGACATATTTAGGAGGATGTGATTAGGATGCTTAGCCCCTAGGATCTCACCTTGGTTTGGGGCGCTCCTCTTCTAGTGGGGAGATACAAAGAGATTATTAGCAAGAGTTCATGGGGGTGGGCCTGATACACCCAGAGGAGGGAACTCCCCTTCAAGCCATAGACCCTAGGAGCAGCTCTGGGGGAGAGGCATGAGTAGGGGAGGAGAAGAGGGAACAAGGGAAATCAGGAAGAGGAGGATCACACGCATCAGATATACATTCAGAACTGGTGTGGGGTCCCCCTCCCACTTCTCTGGGAACCCAGGGCTCCAACCCCCCCAGACCTTCCTCTTACATACCAAAGCTCCTACTCTTCTGCATTTACACCTAGCACTTCAGGGTGCCCCCAGCCCCTCCTCTCTGGGGACACAGGAATCCAGCTGCCCAGGGAGAGCCCTTTCTGCAACTCACACCCCAACCTTTGAATGTATATGAAGGAGAAAAGTGACAGGGTCGGGGACTTAGATGGGGTGGGGGGGGTGTCTGTCCGCAAACATCCAACCCTTCTACAAGAATTCCTCCAGGCTGGGGAAGAAGGCTTGGGTGTCGGTCCCTTTAAGAAGGAAGGGAATGGGTTAAAGCCTCGGCGAGGCCGTTTCCCTTCGTGGACACCAGAGGGCGCGCGAGCTCTCCGGGGCTTAAAGGACCGGGCCTGGGCGGGTTATGCGGGCGCAGGGGTCCTCGCAGGGCGCGGGGCCCGAGGAAATCCGTCTCGGGAAGCGAAGCAGCCGCGGTTACCTCGCTCTGCCACGGGCTCCGGCTCCTCGGCGGCTGGGGAGGGGGAGGCAGGGGGAGAAGCGAGGAGGGGGTAGCGAGGGGGAGCGGCCACGCCGGGGTGCGGGGGCGGGGGGGGGGGGGCAGGGAGGAAAGAAAGGGTAGAGGCTGTTAAAGGACCTGAAGCCGGGGCGGTCGGGAGCCCCGTGCCCGCCGGCCCCGCCACGCCCAGCGCCCCCTCCCCACCCGGCTCCGGCCCCGCGGGGCTGCCTGGGCTGCAGACCTGCGGGTCCAGGCCTCACCTTCCTCCTCCTCCTCCGCGGCCTCCTCTTCTGGAAGGGCAGGGGGGCAGAAAAGGCAGGGTTAGAACCCCACAAGAGAGCACGCCCAGGGTGCTGCGACTCCGAGGGTGGCCGCCCCGCGTGGCCGGGGGCGATGAGCGACCCCTGTCCTCGGGCCTCCCGCGCGCTTGTCCCCAGGCCACCGAGGGCCACCCACTCCCCACTCACCTTCGGGCTGCTCCCTGAGGACAGAGGAAGAAGGACAGAGAGAGGCAGGGTTAGCGTGTTGGAGGTGGGAGAGGGTCCCACCTCTCCATACCCCAGCCCTCCCACCAGTGCCACTCACTCCTCATACTCCTGCTCCTCGGTGTCCGACATCCTGTGTCACCTAAGGACCAAAGAACATGCGACTCAGGTGGGGTCCCGATGGAGGAGGGGCTGGGGGCCAGAGTCCTGGGTCTGAGGGAGGAGGGAATGGGGGCCTGAAGTCCTGGGTCTGAGGGAGGAGGGAATGGGGGCCTGAAGTCCTGGGTCTGAGGGAGGAGGGCCTGGGCGCCTTGACCCCTGGGTCTGAGGGAGGAGGGGCTGGGGGCCTGGACTCCCCAGTCTCAGGAAGGAGGGGCTGGGAGCCCTGACAGGGAAAGGGCTCTGGGAGGTGTGGGGGGAGCACAGCCCCAAAGCTGCAGCTCCTGCCCCTCCACCACCACAGCTGTCCTCCTTTGTCTTATGACATGTCCATGGGAACCTGATCTGAGTGGAGATTAGGAGAAGGTATTTGGGAAGGGACTGTGGCCTGAAGACAATAGCTGCCCCACCCCCCAAAGGCTATTTTGGGGGGATGTCGTAGATGGTGAAACAGAGGACATTTCCTAAGAAGGGATTCAAGGGGGGAGGCTCCTGGGAGAATTAGTCACACAGGCTCCCTCTCCACCCCTCCCCCTCCCCCTATCTGGTTGTCTTCCCACCTGGCCCCTCCTGGCCTCCTCCCCACAGCCTTGAAGGAAGCAGGACTCATCAAGAGCAGTGAAGTCCACACATCTCACCCTGACTCCTACATAGACACCACATCATCTTTGGGATTCCCCCAGGACCAACAGTATCCAGGTTAAGAGCACCCCCAAATCCTGAGACCCACAGATCCTGAGACCCTCAACTGATGATGCCCCTGTTTCTGGGGACAAGCAAGGCCTCATGTCTCCAGATTCTGAGAACCCCATTCTTGAGATTCCAGCGTCTGGGCTCAGACATCCCCAGATCTTGACGCCCTAGGTCTCGACACCTACATTCTGAAGCCTCAACGTCTTGAGACCCCAAAATCTAGACGCCCAAGCTCAGAGGTACAATTCATGTTGCCCCAAAACTTGGTACCTCCAATCATATGGCCTCAGACCTGGAGACCTCAATTCTCAAATCACCAGAGTCTGAGGCTCCCAGTCCTGACACCCAGCCCATAAATGTCCAAGCCCAGATATCCCCAATTTCTGAGATTCCCTCTGAGCTCCTAGGTCTGAAGGTGTTATATTCTGAGACACCCCAATCTCGGCACCCCCAGACTCCATAACTCCCAAATCCTAATACCTCTGTCCTCAGGCCTCATAAAGCCTGAACTTCCCAGGAATTCCCAAGCCTGAAGTTTGTACCACCTCCACCTCCGTAGCCACCCCTCCTGTCGTCTCCCCCCATCTCCCCCCAGTACGAAGCTCCTGGAGACCATTACCTAAGGCTGAGTCTGCAGAGTCGGTGAGCAAATGGGCAGGGCAGATCTGTTGCTGACCCAGCAAGTGGAAGCACCCCCGGTTTATAGTGGAGTCTCAGCCCCGCCCCCCAGGGGAGAGGGAGGGCCTGAGAATTCCTCTCTCAGACCCAGAGTCCAGCTCAGAGGCTGCCCTGCCCCCTCTTTGGCTGCATATTCAGGATCCTGGCACCTCCTGGGGGTCTAGGGACCCCTTCACCCCATCAGCATGGCCTTGAACCTAGACTGGGTCAGGTGACCTCCAACCTCCGGACTCCCCACCTCCCTTACAGCACGCTGAACCCGATGCTTTGAAGTCCCTGGGCTTGGCACACAGTAGGTCCTCAGAGAATACTTACTAACAAAAAGAGCACAAGGGGTGCTTCCTCTTATAAGGCTCTTGTCCCGGTTTCTGTGTCTCTTCGGGCCTCTCTGCATCTCTGATACTGTCCATCTCTCTTTTGTCTCTGGGACCCTCCACCTGTGTGTCTCTGTCTCTGTCAACCCCCTCCCACCCCCACCACTTTGTCTGCCACCAGGATTCCATCCTGGTGACAACAGGCGCTAAAGCCGGGAAGCAGGTGTGGGTCGGGGGAGGGGAGAGGGTGTGGTGTCAGGCCCGCGACCTCACACTCCCCCACCTTCATCTGACACTGAGCTGTTGGGTATTCCTGCCCCCCTTCCCCTTACCCACAGCCGACCACGACCTTGAACCCTAAGGGAGCCAGCCGCCCCTCCTGCCTCTCAATGTCTCTGTCTCTCCCTGCGTATCATCTCTGTTTCTTTTTCTGGGCATTTCTCCAGGGGCTGTCTCTCTGGGTCTCTCTGAGTCTGTGTTTTCACTCCCTGTGTCTCCCCATGCATTTTTGTCTCTGCATTTCCGGGGGTGAATCTGTCAATTTCTGTAAATCTGTCTACTGGCATATGAATGCGTGTGACCTCATTTATGTCTTTCTTTGGCTCTGCCTCCGTGTCTTCCTCTATGTCTCTGCCTTGTCCCTCTTTAAGTCCCTATTTCTGCCTTGTTTGGTGGTCTCTGATGTGCTTTGTGCACATCGGCCTCTCCATTTCCCCTTTCTTTGCAAGTCTTTCTAGGAATCTCTGTCTTTTCTCTCTCTGTGGGTCTCTGGCTGTCTCTGTGTGTGTGCATGTCTCTCTCCTTGGACCTCGGTCTGGGCATCTCTGCACACCCTGCGTGTGAGGCAGAAGAGCTGGGAACGCCCCCTACTGCAGACCCAGCTCTGCTCCTGCTGTGTGGTGTGGCTTTGGGGGACTCTCCCCTCAGTCTTCTCATCTCCCTCACACCGGAGCCCCAGGTAGCAGACTTGCAGCCACTTCTAGCTCAGAGAGAAACTTTATTCCTCAAGGACACCTTCAGGGCCAGGGCAGGGGGCAGCCAGCTCAGCCTTCAAACTTTTTCTTGCGGCCCTCCATTCCACTCAGCGCATCGATGTTCTTACGCCAGTCTCCCACCTCCCGGTTTTCCTGGAGGAATGGGGCCAGGAGTGAGGGCTTCTCTCCCATCTACACTCTCTCAAATAGCCTCCCCCCAATCTTTGGCCTGCTGGGCCACTCTGCTTTGGATGTCCATCTTGAGATCTGCTTCTGGAAGGCTTCTCATCCCCTCAGGTGATCCCATCAAAGTTGCCCCCATGCACTTCTGGCCTCCTTGCTACTTCCTTTCTCCCTAATGCACTTCCTGGCTTCCCCTTCTACTTTCTGGCTTCCCCTTGCACTTCCTATGCCCCTCCTATACTTCCTATTGGGGACCTCTTACCAGATTCTTCTTCCCACAACTCCAAGTAGCATCTGCCCTGAGCTTAGGCCCAATGACTGTTATGTCCCACACCCTCTCCTCTGAGCACCCCCTTTCCTGGCTCTAGCCACACTCACCTTCTCTGTGTCTTCCTTCTTCACCTGCTTGAGGTGGGCCCGCAGGTCTAAGGACTCCTTAGCCCTGGTGCCCAGCAGCGCCTGCATCATGGCATCTGCAGAGATCCTCACCCTCCGCAGGGTGGGCCGCTTAAATTTGCCCCGAAGGTCAAAGATCTTCTGGGTCAGATCTGCTATCTGGGGGCAGCCATAAGGGAAGGTGGAAACCTCCCCCAGACCCATTCTTCCACCCTACACTTCCCTCTGCTCTCTCTCCAGGCCTATGGAGGTCTCATCCAGGCTCCTCATCCAGTAACTGTAAGCCCTCCCGACGGGCCCAGCCTCCTCTCTGAAAAACACTGACACCTCCTGGTCCTGCTGCATGCATCCCACAATTCCCTGACCCATGCCTGAGCTCACCTATCAACAACACCCAATGCTCCAGCTACACATTTCCACAAAAACAGCTTCTGCGTTCCTAGCTCCTGGCTTTTGTGTGCTATTGTCCCCTCTGCCTGGAACAGCCTTCCCTAACAATTTATACTCATTCTCCTGCCCCATCCCTGCCAGGCCCAGCTGTCCTGGGTCTCCTGGTGTCTGCAGTCAACAGCAGCTGCAAGGGCGTGGACTGAGACCACAGCCCCAGGCACAAGACTCTACCCAAGGGGACCAAGACTGCCCAGGGCCCCCCACCTCTGTGATGTTCTTGGTGACTTTCGCCTCCACATCGTATCTCTCTTCATCCACTTTGTCCACTCGGGCGTGGAGTTGTCGGCACAAGTCCTGGTCAAGAATGTGGTATGTGTGGTTGGGGGGTGGGGGTACCCTGACTCCTGAGTCTGAGGGAGGAGGGCCTGGGGGCCTGGACATCTAGTCCTAGAGGACTCTGGGGCAGCTGGAATAAAGGGTGCTGGGAGCCAGGAGTCCTGAGAATCTGACAGAATTGGGACTGGAGAGCCTAATCTCTGGGTTTTGAGACTGTAGGCAGCTGCAGGCCATATTTCTGAACTCCTGAGGGTAAGGATTAGGAGACTGGATCACAAGGTCCAGAGCAGAGGTAGGGGACAGTGACTAGACCGGTGAGTCCAAACAATGCAGGAGCGGACACTAGGTACCTCGGATCCCCAGCTGGGCAGGAGTCCCTGATGAGAACGGTACCTGCAGCTCCGCGAAGCCCAGCCCGGCTAACTCCAGCGGCTGGCACCGCGTGCTCAGAGCGCGCCCTTTCTCTCCGCGCCGCTCCTCCGCCTCCCTCTCCAGCTCTTGCTTCGCGATCTGCAGCATCAGGGTCTGCAGAGGCGAGGCCGGGGACCGCAGCCCACCCGGGGAGGCGGATGAGGGCTGCGCGGCATCCGCACCAGGGAAGCCGCCCTGGCCAGGACAGCCCCCCAGTTCCAGGCAGGGTCCGCGGTCTTCCAGAGACGCTCCCCTTCAATCCGAGGCTCCGCCCCCGTGGCGGGGAGGGGGGTGGGTGCTGCTCACAAGCCACGCTCACTCCCCACTGAGGCCTCGTCCTACCCCCTCCCGCACCCGACCCTCCAGCTCCCCCCCCCTGAGGACACCTAGGCGCCCCCTCCAGGCCCACCAGCACCTTCAGCTGCAGTTTCCTCGAGGCGGAGATCTTGGACTTTTTCTGCCGGGGTGACATGGAGCAAGGAATAATCAGGGCGGGGAGTAGGAGACAGATGGTGGGGGGCATGGGTAGGTTCCAGATTTGGACTCGCTTCCCGCTGAAGCCAAGCCGCTCAGCCGCATCCACCAATCCTGACCCCTGACTGCTTAGGCAGTTCCCATGGGCAACGAACTCCGCCCATAGGCAGGCCACACCAATCCGAGCCCTCCCTCCGCAAAACCCCGCCCCTAGGGTGCAGCTTCCTCCTAGGCTCCGCCCACAACCAAAGCCCCGCCCCAGCCAAGGCTCTGGCACCGCCCCTCCACCCCTGGGTCCCGCCCCCTCTGCGGACTGGGAACCTAGCCCCGCCAGCCCCGCGCTCACCTTGGCGTGCGGCTCCGTGGCGTACGCGCGGTAGTTGGCGGAAGACTGGCGTCGGATCGGGGCCGGAGCGGGGGGCGGGCACCCCGCCTGGGGTTGTGGGGATAGAGCCACGTCACTGCGGGCCCCCCCCCAGAGCCCCTCTACGGGTGGAGCTGCCACCTCCCGCCCCAGGCCCCGCCCTGCGGCTCCCTCCCCAGCCGTGGACCCCGGCCCGCGCCTCCTCTCACCGCATCGCCGCTCCTGAAGGAAGAGACCGGGAAGGGGGGGGTTAATGGTGGGCCTGTGTCCCGTCCAGTCTAAGGAACCCCAGGGGCCGCCCACCAGCTGCCCAGTCCTCGGGTTCCAGGGAGTCTGGTTCCCAAACCTTCCTTCGTGCCGATAGCCAGGAGTCTGTCCCCACCTCCCTCCTCAGGCCGTGTGTCCAGCCTCACAGGCCCAGGTCCCACCGCCTCGGGCCCTTCAGGTCCCAGTTCCCTAGATGCACTCACTCATCCGCCATGTGCAGACTCAGGCCAAGGCTTGCAGGAGGCAGAGGAGGGCAAGGGGCGATTGGAAGGTCAGTGAGGGGGCATCCGGGATGACCTTGAAGGACCCCAGAGCTTCAGTCTGTCTGCACTGCTCAAGCTTCACTGAGGACACTGAGATAAGGGGCGTGGACTGAGACTAAATATACTGCTGCCACCTCCTCCCCCTGCCCAGGATGTGAGATAACCGGGGCGCGTGAGGGGTGGGGTGGGCCGTGCTCCAGCTGGATCACCCTTCCACCTTGGAGGCCTGGAACCCAGCCCCTCCTCCCTCAGACCCAGGGGTTCAGGCCCCCATTCCCCTCCTCCAGCAGACACAGGAGTTCAGGCCCCCAGCCCTTCCTCCCTCAGATGCAGGAGTTCAGGCCCCCAGCTCCTTGGTTCTTCAGACTCAGAAGTCTGGGGCTCATCCCCACACTAAACAGTGATCTCCATGAGAGCTATGATCAGTTTCTGTGTCCCAATCCTGTTAGCCACTCAATAAATTTTGTTGATTTATGTGACGATCTAGGTATGGTCCAGACTCTCAGGCAATAACAGCCCAGAGAAATCCACTTGGAACTAGGTCTCCTCTCTTAACCACCCTAGCCCCTTCCCTGTCCCAGCCCTGGAGACAAGAGTGAAGACAAAGACACAAGGGCACATGAAGAAGAGGACACCACTCTTTTTATCTGGACTATGTGGGTGTGGACCGGCCCTGGAAAGCAGATTCCCCCAACCCCCAGGTAAAATAGGACCTCTGAGGACAAGAAAACCACATAGAGGGCCTGAGACTCAGGGCCGGATCTCTAGAGTCTCAAGAATGGAATGTGGAACCCTGAAAGAACACTCTAGAATTCTAGGAACAGAATATAGAATCCCAGGAAGGTAATCTGAAATTCTAGGGACACCGCTGGAGCTGTTGGAGAATATTGAGAGTATACCTGAGTGAATATTCTAGAGGCAAGCTCTACTTCCAGGACCTGACCTTAGAGGTCAGAGATGGGGGACTGGATATCTGGGAATGGGGTCAGACTCTCTGTGGGTGGAGCCAGAACCTTGGGGAGTGGAGCTGGAGTTTGAGGGGTTCTGAGCGCAGTTTGAGGGGCTAAGAGGGTGGGGTCCCGCCTTTGAGAGGCTGACTCTGGTTCTCAAGGGCCAGAGCCAGGGTGTCAGGGGGCGGAGTCATGGATTCCGAAGCTGAGTCAGTGTGCTGGCCAGCAGAGTCTAAGGCTTTGCAGAAGCGGGCAAAGGTCTCGGAGGGCCTGGCCTGGGGTGGGGGCGTGAATCCAGCGGCCTGAGCTAACTCTCCAACCCGGGCAGCAAAGCCCTGCAACTGCTCCTGCCTCAAGTCCACCAGGTACCTGAAACAAGGAAGGCGTATGTTAGGGGGTCCCCGGCTGTGAGCCCAGGGCTGGATGTTCCCTGCCCTGCGCTCCCACTGGCTGGCTCACCGGGCCAATTCCACCACCAAGCGTCCTCCGGGGGCCACACAGGCCCCGAGATCGGGGCTGAGAAGATGCACCATCCTGAGTAGAGAAAAGTGAGGGCTGAGGACTGAGACTTAGACTTTCAGGTCCTGAGGGAGTAGTGGGGCCGGGGAATCTGGGTGCTGATTGAGGAGGGGCTGAGGGCCAGGATTCCTGGGTGTGAGGGCAGAGGAGCGAGAGACCTCTTTCTTACCCACAGGCCACATAGAGTAGCTGGAACCGTCCCTTGTAGCAGCTCTTGTGGTGAAGGGTTTCTGCAGAGCCGAGAGGCAGGAAGCGCACAGTGAAGAATCCCGGGGCAGAGGCAGCTGGGGATGAACCCGCAGTTAGGCAGGCACACCAAGCTTGGAGATAATGCTCCTTGCCTACCTGTCTTGAAGCCCTTTCTCATCCTCTCTCGTAGATGGATTCCTGGAAAGTTCTAGGAAGGTCAGCCCAGCAAGCAGAGATCCATTTTACAGACTAGGCAACTGAGGCTCAAGAGAGGGAAAGAGCGGGTGGCCCATGGCCATACGGGTCATCCAGACACTCAGGAAGAGCCAGGTTAGGTGATGGTTACCAGGGCGCAGGACCAGAATCAGGGCAGGGGAAGGGTCTCTCCACGGGTGGGCTGGGCCCCAGCACCCTGTTAGAATACTCTAGCCGCAGGTAGGATTAGAATTCTGTTGGAATTCAGAATGATACCAATGGTGTCAAGATTGAGGAAAGGGAAAGAAATACAAAAAAAGAAAAAGACATATCAGGAACAGGAGATCCTTGTCCAGTTGTTGGAAACCATATCGGAGCTGAAAGACCTGGAACCTAACGCCCAGGATGGGGGTCCAGGTCCCACTCTTTCCCTGGGGGATGATGTGACCCCTTTCCACCCAATTCGCATTTCAAGGGGGTCAGCGAACCAGGACGCTTACTTCGCTCTGGGCTTGCACCCTGGCCATCCTCGCGATCCCCGCGATCGCGATCCCCGCGATCCTCGCCGTGGCACATCTGCTCCGGGTTTCCCTGGGTGTTTCTCGGGCGCCCCCAGGCGGCCATCTCTCGGAATAGCTCCGTCACGTTGTGCTGAGTGATCTCCCCAGCAGTCTGGGGAGAGAAGGGGCGCAGCCAGGATGACACGGCTGGGCCTAGAGTACACCATCCCTCCCCGGAACGCCCAGTGCGAGGTGTGTGCTGGCGAGGGGAGCGGTTAAAGTACAGAGGGGCGAGGCCTCGAAAGCCCTCCCTCAGCCCCAGCACCTGCAGTCACACACCTTGACCGGCTGTCCGTTGCTGGTCCGCAGGAGGCTCTCATCGTCTGTTTCGATGCCAAAGGCCACGAATGGCCCCGTGGCGATGTCCCCCCAGTAACCGCGCGCTGCGATACGCTCCCCGTGCTGGAGAGAAAAGGCACGTGAGGTCAATGTTGGAGACCCCGGTTCCCGTGTCACTGAAAAGAAGCACTGGCCCGGGCAGGGAGAGGACGCGTACATGGCTCAGGAAGCGACCCGACGCAAGGGTCCGGTTTGGCACATGATAGGCGCTGGAGTCTCTGAGTTCAAAGGCGACACCTGTGTCCCTCCAACGCCGGAACTCGCGAGTGTGGATGACTCGGGCCTGGATAGGAGGCCCGAACGAACAGGTCTAAGCAAATCTGGTATATGGGCCCCCAGTCCCACCTCCCTCGGACCCCGGAGTCCGGGCCCCCAGCCTCCCAGCCCCCTCACCCCGCGATCGTGCAGCTTCATGTGCAAGTCCCAGTCGCTGACACCGTGCCGGGCGTCGTAACGGGAGCCCAGGTAGTGACGCAGCCTGGAGTCCCAGAAGCGACTCATGGGGAAGGCCTCGGGCTCCTTCTCCCCGCCCGCCCAGAAGCGGAACACAGCCTCCAGGGCATCGCGCTCACGGAACTGCACGGCCGGCACGCGGGAGGTTGGGGGGCGGGGAGAGAGTAAGGGGGAGGAAGCTGCAGGGAGAGCCGGATCTTCTGCTTTACCCTCCCTCCCACCCCAGGGCGCGAGGAGGATTCTCCCATTTCTCAGAAGAAACTGCAGTTCCGAGAGTAGAAGCCACCACCTAGGTCACATCACCCGGTGAGAGCTGGGGGGCTGGGGTTCGAACGCCATCAACGAAAACCCTTTTGGGCTTCCCATTTCCATTCTTCCCGTGGCCATCGGGATCCTGGGCAGTGGCGGCACCTTGAGGGCGCCTAGGCTGATCCAGGGCAGCTGCTCCTCCAGGCGGTCGGGCTCCGGGACCAAGTGCGCCAGGCGGGCGGCTTGCGCGCGCACGAAGGCGGCCACCTGGGGGCGCAGCAGCGCGTTCCCCCACACCTCCAGGAAGGTCTCGCTTCTCTCTGGGGTAGGGGTAAAGGGGCGGGAAGAAGGAGGGAGGGTTAGTGGACAGAGCAGACGAGTGAACCCAGAAATGAGACCCATGTGGCTGACGCACACCCTCTTTAATCTTATTATGTCATAGTCATGTGAGCATAAGGGACACTGACCAAATCCCCATCCATCCCCCAGACTCTAAGAGTCACTTACACCCAACCTAAGTCTCCTCCTAGTCTTCCCCACCCACCAGATGAGCCCAGTCCTGCAGCTCATGTTTGAATTTTCCTCACCTTATAAAAGAAAAAGTTATGTATAGATGGAGATGAAATGGAGATTTATGCATGTTAAAATATTATAGTGTTAAATTGTTCCTTTTTAGTTAGGAATCTTACCAGAGAACTATTCATCTTTAGTTGTATACAGGTTTATATCTATATCAATGTATCTCTATCAATATGTAAATTGATTCATTTAGTGGTTTAAGAATCCTGTAATAGAGAACTATATACCTGTAGTTAGATAGTTAGGCTCAGAGCCTTTTATGAGGTACACTGTGACATGATGTGTGCAGTGTATTCTGAATGCTCTGAGCTATTAACAACTACCCTCCAAGGTCGTGAAAACAATGATGATCAGTAAGAGGTACTGAGCCTATATCATAAGCCAGGAGCTATGCATTGTTTTTGTTTTTGTTTTCTAATTGAATCCTCACAAGAACTCTATGGGGAAAGAACTTTTAGGATCTCCCTTTTATCAATGTAGAAACAATGTGGGCCCGGAAAGGGACAGATAGTAGCCCCAGGTCACTGAGCAAGCAGAGCCAGAATTTGAACAGACTGTCTCAAGTCCAGACTTGGCTGCAGACACTGGGCCAAAATCATTGTCATCATGAGATCATGATTCCTGCCACCCTGCCCCTTCTCTTCGTCCTCCGCCTCCCAGGGCTACGTCTTCAAGACAGACTCCCTGAGATTCATGCCTCCAACTGAGGACATTCGGACCTGTAGGAAGGCTCTGGAAAGGACTGAGCTCAGTTCTGCCAAACCTTCCCCACATCTGGGGGACCCACTACCTCTTAAGAAGTCCTTTGATTTCTTTTGGTCCTCTCCTGTGCTAGGAGCTTTTGAATGCTTACCCTGTGTCATGCATTGTGCTGACAGCTTATGTACATTTTCTCCTGGAATCCTCTCTCTCTTTTTTTTAAAAGATTTTATTTACTTATTTATTCATGAGAGACACACAGAGAGAGGCAGAGGGAGAAGCAGACTACCTGTGGGGGAGCCCCATGTGGGACTCGATCCCGGGACCCCAAGATCACAAGCTGAGCCAAAGGCAAATGCTCAACCGCTAAGCCATCCAGGCATCCCTGGAATCCTCTCAATGGCTCTAGGAGGTATATTTAGCCCCATTGTACAGGTGGAAAGAGTTGAGGCCGTAAGCCTGACAAACTAGTGAACAAGTGATGCAGTAGGTAGCTAAAATGTTTACACATTGATATGCCAGAACCCCTGCAGGCAGGGGGAAGAGGCTGCGGGCCAGAATGTCTGGGTCCTTGCAACTGACCTTGCAACCCCATCTTCTCAGGTTCCTCTAACGCTAGGCTGAAGATCAGCATGTGTCGGGCCACAGCTTCCAGATTATTCTCTAGCACATAGAACTGGAAGATAGATAGGGCAAAATGACTCTGAGATCTGTATCCTTGGCTTCTTGGAGACCCAGGGATGGAAGACTTCAGCCTCCTGCCTCCAGAGGACCCAGGCATCCTGTACACTGGCCCCTTTCCTTCAAACACAGGAGTCTGGGCACTCAAACTCTCCTCCCCACCATTAGTCAGGGACCACGAGTCCTTAGGCTCTTCCTCCCACTTGAACCCGAGTCCCCAACCCTGAAGTCTAGGTCCCCAGCTTCTACCTCCCTCAGACCTAGCAGTCCAGGCCTCCAGCTCTCTTTCCCTTCAAGGACTCAGGAATCTGGGTTCTCATCTTCATCCTCCTCCCTCCCCAGAATCCCAGCTTACGTGTAACCTCCTGCGAGGCCACAGCGCCGCCCGGGCCAGGGTCCGAAGCAGGTGCCGCCCATCCACGGAGCCCACGAGCAGTACATCTAACTCGGGGGTCCTGGGCTCGGTATTGTCCCGCAAGTCTGAGTCCACAGGAGGACCTGGCAAGATGACACGGGCTGGGGTCTGTGGCCTGGAGAGTGCCCCACAACGGTGGACTACAACTCCCAGTAGGACTCGCACGCCTGGCCTACGTTCCCAAAGGGAGCTGTGCCTCTAAGCATTCTGGGACTCGTAGTCCGCAGAGGCCCCTTGGGCTGCCCAGTGAGGGGGCGGCGGCGCCATTGGAGCCTCGGAGAACGTTAGGGCGCCGCCTGCCAGGCTGGGAAGGCAGCCGCCTTGTCAGATATGGTCCAGCGTGGGGACTCACTCTCAGCCTGCAGGTCCAGCGCCGGGGACAGGCCCCACCAGGATACGGAGCCGAAGCCTGCGCCGGAGCCCGCCGGCGTGGTCATCGCCCTGCAGAACAGACATCCTGGGAGTCCCCAGACATGATCCCTGCATCGCCCCGCATGCCCCTCTCACCGCCCCTCACGTCTCGGCCCTCTCCTCCAAGTGACACCCCCCTCACCTCTACCCTTCCAAAGACTCCCTCCCTGCTCGGTGCTGCGCTCGGTTCCGCACCGCGTACACACACTGCCTACCTCCCTCTTCCTTCTGGACCAATCAGCCAATGGGAGTACGCGGGCTGGCACCGGTGCTATCAACTGACCAATGGGAGCGAGCGAGGCTCGCCTGCTATGAACTTTTGGCCAATGGGAGAGCTCGCGGGCGTGGAGGGCGTGTGGACGCGGTTGTCATGACGATGGAGCGGGCGAAGATAGAGCGGGGCCGGGGGCGGCTGGGGCGGGGCCTGGGGAAGTCCACATCTCTGAGATGGGGAAGGTAGGGGCCGATTCAAATTGATATAGAACTGAAAAAAAAAAAAAAAAAAAAAAGAACTGAACAGAATATTGATTAATTCAAATTAAAGTGAGGCTGCCTGGACCTCCTCTGTATCCCCTGCCACCCCACACCGTGATCCTACCACCCAGGCGGGAAATGCAACAAGGTGCTGGCGCTAGCTAGCACTGGCCCCTGGCTGTTCAATTGTCAGGAATTTTGCAACCTGGCTGTTACCCACAGTCGTTGCTAAAAATTAAACTGACTTACTAATTCCTAAAATTAAACTCAAATTAAGTGCATTATATTAAAATAAAGGCAATACAGGGATCCCTGGGTGGCTCAGCCGTTTAGCGCCTGCCTTCGGGCCAGAGCATGATCCTGGAGTCCGGGGATGAGGGATGGAGTCCCGAGTCCCACATTGGGCTCCCTGCATGGAGCCTGCTTCTCCCTCTGCCTGTGTCTCTGCCTCTGTGTGTGTGTCTCTCATGAATACATAAACAAAATCTTTAAAAATAAATAAATTTTAAAAATAAAATAAAGGCAATACATACTCAAAACTCATCACTTCTTATTTTACTATATTTTCCTATTGCTGGTGGTCTTAAGGTTTTTTTACGTCAATTGTATTCAAATGAAGAAATAATATTTTATTTTAACGCAATCGTTTAAAAAAATCAAATTGGCAAACTACGACCACTGGCTGCCTATTTTTCTAAATAAAATTTTATGAGAACCAGGGCCAGGAGTAGTATGAAGAGTAGTGGTCCAAGTGCACGGTCAGACCCTGTCTTTAAAATTTTTATATTTTATCCATCGTTGATTTCTTTCTTTTTTTCATTTTAAGTTTTTATTTAAAGTCACTTAAGTTACTTTACTCCTACATCTTCTCAATGGTTTCTTCCTTATATTTGCCCTTTTCCTTTCCTACTTGGCGAGATTTGGCTTTATGCTCAAGGATCTTTTTGTGGTCTTTGTCCAGTTTTAATCTAGTGATAACCACTTTGCTAGGGTGAATGTCCACGTGGACAGTTGTGCCATTTGCCTTCTCTGCTGTACTTGTTCAATGTAGATGACATAATTCTTCCTGTAAATCTGAACTATTTTGCTGATTTGCTGACCTTTGTAGTGTCCTCGCACAACCTGCACTTCATCATCCTTCCGGATGGGCATGGACCGCACGTTGTACTTCTGCCTTGGCTCTTTGGAAAGCGGGGAAGACATGATCTTCCTGCGAATGTGGGAAGGTGCATTGAAATGCCGCTTACGATTTTTGCTCCGGTCAGAAGTCACAAACGGGGATCCCTGGGTGGCGCAGCGGTTTGGCGCCTGCCTTTGGCCTAGGGCGTGATCCTGGAGACCCGGGATCGAATCCCACGTCGGGTTCCTGGTGCATGGAGCCTGCTTCTCCCTCTGCCTGTGTCTCTGCCTCTCTTTCTCTCTCTGTATGACTATCATAAATAAATAATTTAAAATTTAAAAAAAATTTAAAAAAAAAGAAGTCACAAACGGATTGAACTTCATATTGGCCACTGGCGCCTCGGCGATGGCTGCCCATCGTTTATTTCTTTTCCCTTTTTTTGCATTTTTTTTAAATTTTAAAAATATTGTATTAAAATTCTATTTATCTTGATGAATGGTGTTGTTTTTATTTTTTAAAGAGTCCATGTGGGACTCCATCTCAGGACCCTCGGATCAAGTCCTGAGCCAAAGGCAGACGCTTAACCACTGAGCCACCCAGGTGCCCACCACTAAGCCATGCAGGTGCCCCTGAATGGTGGTTTTGTTTTGTTTCCTCGGCTTTGCCTTAAAATTTGGAACCTTTATCTTGACCCTGGGAAATACTATGTTACTGTATGATAGAATACTAATAGACATCACCTCTGGACTTTATATTCAGTGACTTCATTTAGACAAATCAGTCACTTTTTCTGTGCCTCAGTTTTCTGCTCTGTAAATTATGAATGGTCAGCTGGCAGTGATGTGATGCATTGAAAGGGGTCCATCTGAGGACAGAGGACACTCTGAGGACAGTTCTGGGCACTGGGAAGTGAAGCTGAGGTCTCTGCACACCATGCAGGACTCACTGGCCTTCTGGCTCTTTTGAGAACACACCAAGCCTGTTCCTGCCCCAGGGCCTTTGCAATTTAGGGTTCCTTCTGCCTGGAATTCTTTTTGCCTTCATCTTTTCTTATTTTTATTGTGGTAAAATACATGCAACATAAAACTTTTTTTTAAGATATTTTTTTTATTTATTCATGAGAGATACACAGAGAGAGAAGCAGAGATACAGGCAGAGGGAGAAGCAGGCTTCCTGCAAGGAGCCTGATGTGGGACTCGATCCCAGATCCTGGGATCACGCCCTGAGCCGAAGGCAGATACTCAACCACTGAGCCACCCAGGTATTCCATGCAACATAAAGTTTAATGACATTTAGTATATTGACAATATTGTGCAACCAACACCACCATCTGCTTACAGAACTTTCTCATCATTCCATAAGGAAGTCCTGTATTCATTAATCAGTCACTTCCCATTTCTCCCTCTCCCTAGTGCAGCAAACCACAAACCTACTTTTTTTTCTCTCTGTGGATTTGCTTATTCTGAACATTTCATACAAATGTAATCATATAATATGTGGCCTTTTATTTCTGACTTCTTTTGCTTACAATCAAGCTTCATTTTGCTGTAGCATGAAATTGGTACAAACATTCCTTTTTATGACTGAATAATATTCCATTGTATTCCCCTCTTATCTTTGCAAGCCTCGTTGTTTCTTGTCATTCAAAGCACAGCTCAAACATTACCCCTTTAGGAAAGTTGTCCCTGATTGCTCTAAATTATCCCAGCTCTCTCTAGTTTACTTCCCAATACAGTCCACTATTTGTAATGATTTTATTTTTCTCACTTGTCTGCTCTCTTGAGACACAATACCAGGGCCCCCAATGTCATCATTTAACTCAGAACATATTCTATCCCAAGATTTAGAGACAGATTTCCTGGCTGTATGAGCCTAGGCAGGTCCTGTTACTTCTCTGAGGCAATGTCTTCGTTTGTCAACTGGGAATAATAATCATGTCTATTTCATGGGGTGGTTGTGAAGATTATTATTAGCAGGAGTAGCAGTAATAGTAACAATAGTAATATGTTGTTTTCATAAAGATGTCCCCTCATTCACTCATACATAAGAAATTACCGCATCTGGGATGCCTGGGTGGCTTAATGGTTGAGCGTCTGTCCCTGGCTCAGAGTGTGATCCTGGGATCCTGGGATCAAGTCCTGCATCTGGCTTCCTGCAGGGAGCCTGCTTCTCTCTCAGCCTACGTTTCTGCCTTTCTCTTTCTGTCTCTCATGAATGGATGGATAGATAGATGATAGATAGATAGATAGATAGATAGATAGATAGATAGATAGATAGATAATCACTGCACCCCCTTGAAGAAATTTGTTAAATCGCATGGACATCACAATCTGTAACTGACCAGATTTCCCTTTTCCCTGATGGTTGGCCATCAGGGAGCTCAGTGCAAATTAATACTTTGCCCTTTCTTTAGTACATGGGGCAAACTTTTGTCTCATTTCCACTTAACCTGCTGGTCCAAGAGCTCTCTTGCCAAATTTCATGGACCTTTATCTACCACCTGAAAACCTGTCTGAGATGAGAGGAGGGAGAGGCCAAGGAAATGACTGTCTTTCCTATACACAGGTTAGGAAGCAGAATTTGTTGAAGGAAGGAAGAGGTGGAACTGTTGGCTTTCCCTGCATAGTTCTGTTATTTCTCCCAGTCTCTGGGTATTCCCAGACTCTGCATATCTACTTTGTCTCAGTGATGAGAGTACATCGCTTGGAGGTCAAGTCCAGATCTACATCAACTCCGGGTTTCCAGCATCTAACAGAAGCTGCCACAGTGAAGATCTCAGGGAAAACAGAATGGATGAATGATGGAAGAAAGAAGGGAAGAGAGGAAAATATGAGTATGAAAATTTTTTTTTGGGCAGCCCAGGTGGCCCAGCAGTTTACCGCCACCTTCAGCCCAGGGCATGATCCTGGGGCCCCGGGATCGAGTCCCACATCAGGCTCCCTGCACGGAACCTGCTTCTCCTCCTTCTGCCTGTGTCTCTGCCTCTCTCTCTGTGTGTCGCTCGTGAATAAAAAAAAAAAAAGAAAAGAAAAGAAAAAGAAATTATTTTAAAGATTTTATTTATTTATTCACGAGCAATAAAGAGAGAGAGAGAGAGAGAGAGACACAGGCAGAGGGAGGAGAAGCAGCCTCCATGCAGGGAGCCCGATGTGGGACTTGATCCCAGAACTCCAGGATCAGGCCCTGAGCAGAAAGCAGATGCTCAACCGCTGAGCCACCCCGGCGTCCAATGAGTTTGAAAATCTATGTAAGTTATAGCTGTGGGAGCGGATTAAATTTGTGAGCAGTAAGTGATTCTCATGGACTACTCATAACAAACATACAGGAGGTATTGTTACAACTACTATTTTTTCACCGGAGGAAACCCAGGTTCCGAGGGATGCTTGAACGAATAAATGAATACATGGATGATGGGTGGGCAGGCCAGGTTCCCTCAGTATGTTTCCAAGATGGGCAGCCCATCCTTGCCCTTGGGGGATCCCACTCTCTTGTTCCCCTGGCCCCTGCCCTGCCCCCTCCACCCCATCAGGAAGCACCAGGCCAGACCACCAAAGTTGCTGAGTATTTATTTGGTCCCAGGAATGGTGTAGGAATCCAACTAGGGATGGGAGCAGGTGATCCAATGCAGGAAGAGGGGCACTGGGAGCAAAGGGGGTAGTAGTAGGCTGGGTCACTGATTGTCAAAGCAGAGAGTGGGAGGCTGGGGTGGGGGCAGACCAGACTGTTCCCCTCCCCCAGGGGTCCCTGGGGCTTCTGAGTATGTGCTTGGTGGGAGAGTTGGCAAGTCACCGCGACTTATACAAAGGGGAATGGGAAGGCAGGAATGGGGCAGGTTGGGCTGATCAGCGGTCAGAGAAGGCTTCAAGGTAGGCCTGGGTGTGGCTCTGGCCAGGAGTCTGAGATCAGGGGCTCAGTCCAGGCTTGGCAAGGGGCTTGAGGTGGGGATCAGGGTGCAGGCAGCGGCCTCACTCGGTCAGGGGGCCGCAGAGAGTGCCACTGGGCAATGGGCCGCCGGGGGTTGGCCAGCATGTCTGCCCAGTGCCGCAGGCCAGCTCCCCCAGCCGCCGCCCCAACAGCCACCCTCCCGATGGCCTCATTCTTGCCCAGCTTGTCATAGTCCAGCACAGTCAGCTCCACCTGGACCTTCTGGAGACAGGAAAAGACAGAGTTTGGGAAGAAGGCATGGCAGAGACGGGCTCAGGTATCATTGCCAAGGAGACCCTGTCCCTAACAATCTGAGGTCTTAGGGGACTTGTTAGCACCCTGAGCTATGGCCTGTCAGGGGACTCTAATGGTGGAGGGGATGGGAGGTGAAAGGAGGGACAGCCTCTATTACAGGGATGCTCTGGAGTCTTTCTTCCTCTGCCATGAGACTTCAAAGGAGCTAAACCCTCAGGACCCCATTGGTAAGGGGTTGTTAGGAGCCTTAGGGAACAGCCTCCTAAGGGGGGTAAACCTTGAGAACTCTGAAATATGTGCAGTGGCCAGGCCTGGGTCCGGGCTAGGCCCTGTTCCTGAACAGTTGTGGGGAAATCTTTTCCTTAGTACCCATAACTCTTGAGGGGGGTGCCCTTGGGGTATAAGGTCTCGCTGGGGGTCAGGGCATCCTGGTTTTACTTGGAGGTGGGGCATCCTGGTCTTACTTGGAGGCGGGGCAACCTGATCTTGCTTGGGGGTGGGGAGCCCTGGTCCTCTGAAGAGGAAACTGACTTCAGAAACACAACCTCAGGCTCCCAGGACCTGGTTTTAACGGTTGTTAAGGAGTCTCTCTTTCCTAGCAACAAGGGTTTTTAAGGGCCTGGGGCTCTGGGAGAATGGCTGCTCTTCCAGGGGCTTTGGGTAGGCCTGAGCTCACCTGCACCTGGTCACAGGGCACTTCGAAACTGAAGGCTTCATTGTAATAGGGGTTCAGAGTGTTCTTCTTGATGGTGGTTTTCTTCTTACGCACCTTTTTGCCCCCCTGCAGCAGATGGACCTTGACATACGGATCTGGGCAGAAAAAGGGAGTCTTATAGTCCCCCAGCTACAGAGTCCCTGGGATCATATTGAGGAGGATGCATGAGACTCTGCTTTGGAACAACACAGAGACAGTCTGTGCACCCCTCAGCTCTCTCTTACTGTGTCCAAAGCAAATCCATATCCTCCAGGGCAGTCTTGGACTCTCTCCACCAAGGGACTCCCAGGACCCAGAAGCTGCCAGAACCTTTGCTACAGAGCTCCCCATTACCACCATTTCCTTGCTTCCCACACACCTGAGAGCCCTCCTACGTCCATCTTCTTCAGGTTCTTAGCCTCCAGGACAATGACGGTAAGCTTACCGGCAGTAGGGACGTAGCGGAGGGAGAAGCAAATGTCACCTAGTTTCTCCTGCTAAAAGACGGAGAGGGACTCATCGCTGGAGCCCTGCTTCACGTCCATCCCCTCTCGGACCTTCCTTCCCTCCCCCTCGCCTTAGAATGGAGTGGTCCAGTGAAGACCACAGTGGTACGATCCAAGGAGAAGTGGAGATGGTGACCTACCAGGACAGGCCCTGGGACTACCATCCGCATCAGGTGTAATGACTGGAGCCCTGAGAGGCCTCTGATCTGATTGCCTGGGCTCACAGTGGGCTGGCTCAGCCATGGGAGCATGGCCACACGTGCTCACCTCTTCCCGCGGAGCAGCCTGCAGCTCGCGCCAGGCCAGCACTGGCCGCCCCAAGTCCACCGAACTCATGGGGACCCGCACCTCCCCAATGGCATCATTGCGGGAGAAGCGATCGAAGTCGTACACTGCCATGACGAGTACCCTGCCCCCCAGTTCCACGTAGGGGACCTAGATAAGGGGGCCACAGAGAAGAGAGCACAGGTGAAGAGTAGGAAGTAAGAGGGACAGGAAGCCGGGCACAGCACATCCAGGCAGAAGGTGGCAAGTTGGGCAACAAGGGTTCAAGAGAACAGTTGGGCGGAAATCTGTGGAACCCAAATGGGACAAAGGAACAGCCTGGGGATCAGTAGTGCCCCAAGGGGACAACCCAGGGTCCTGTGTAAAAGTTCTCAGAGCTTGGGCAGCCCAGGTGGCTCAGCAGTTTAGTGCCGCCTTCAGCCCAGGGTATGATCCTGGAGACCAGGGATGGAGTCCCATGTCAGGCTTCCCCGCATGGAGCCTGCTTCTCCCTCTGTCTGTGTCTTGCCTCTCTCTGTGTGTGCGTGTGTCTCTCATAAATAAATAAACAAAATCTTAAAAAAAAAAAAAAAGTCCTCAGAGCTGGTAGCTGCTATCTGAGCTGTGGCTGCCTCCAGAAAAAGCTGAAGGGGTCGCTCCCCAGTATCTCAGGGACTGGGAGCAGGTTGCCAAGCCTGGAGCACAGAGGCCAGGAGCTCACCTTGAAGGCAAAGTTCTCCCCAAAGTGTGGGTTCAGTGTCTGCCGATGCACCTTGGTCTCATGCCGCCTCCGCTTGTCTGGGAGCAGGTAGACCCTCACGTAGGGGTCGGAGGAGCCACCCAGGTCCAAGGCAGCCAATCCCTCAGCTTGTACAATGCCCACCAGCAGCTGAAAGGTGATGAGGGGACTTTAGTCTCGGCTTCCTTTCTGGAGCCTCCTCTAAAAGGGAGTTAGAATTAGAACTCTCCGACCCTCCCTTCCACACCATCTCCCTCCTCCACACCCACCTGGCCACTCTGGAAATCATAATCAAGTGAGTACTGCAGCCGTCCTAGCTCATGCTTCTCTGCTGCCTGCGACCCTGGCCCAGATGGTGCTGGCTCCAGCTCCTCCACTTCTGGCTGCACCTTAAGGAGCCAGGAGCAAGAGCAGGTGAACTCTTCCCTTGATAGTGGTATCCTCCAGGCCCAGAAGCCAAGGGAGACTCTGATCCCACAGGTTACTGCTGAGCCCTTGCAGGCTAAGCAGAGCCAGTGTTTGATTAATGATGTCTGCCACAGGCAGGGCCTAGTCATAGTAACATGGATGCAGTACTTAGCCAAAGTTTGATGAATGACATCTGCTATGGGGGAGAACAGATACAGTGACACATATTCAGTGTGTTTGTCATGCCTAGACTAGAAAAACAAGTACCAATCACACCTTGTTGCGTACAAGAAGGATGCAGAAGATTTTATTTCACATGCTAATGGATGTACTAGGGTTGTTGTCCAAGTTGACATGTTGATTAATGACCTTGTCACAGAAAAACATGAAGGAGAAATGGTATATTTACCCTGTATTTGCCATTCTTTTTTTTTTTTTTTGTATTTGCCATTCGAAGCTAGAACAAGACTTCTCCTTAACCTAAGCCACCAATTTTCAAAATTCAAGTGAATCAGAATTTCCCTGAGAAATGTGGTAAAATGCCTTCACTTGAGAGATTCTGATGCGGTAGGTCTGGAGCAAGACCCAGAATTTGTGTTTCCACAAGAACCTGAGGTGAGTCTGGCAGGTGGTCTTTGGACATCACTGGCTTGAGGGACAGGGATGGAGGCTGGACACCAGGACCCTAAAGGGTGATATTTACAACAGCCTTATGGGGTTATAATTACAACAGCTATTTGTTATGAAGGGAAGAGGGGAGATACTGGTTACAGACCATGAATGTGAGGCTCAGAGAAGGATAGTGAATTCCCCTAGGTCACAAAGCTGGGGGAGTGGTTTTTCTGGGTTGGAAATGTAGGATTGCCTGGTTCTGTGCTCAGACTCTTATATCTGTAACCTCTAATTTTCCACTCCAGTGGTTTCTTCCAACTCATGTTTCTTTCATTCTCTTGGGGCTGCCACACTAGCCTCTTCCCTGGCCTCCTTGCCCCAAATCTGGGTTCCAGAGGATTCATTCCAACACAAATTTTCTACGGTTCCCAATTGCCCTCCTGACATGGGACCACTGAGCTCTTCAGACATCTATTCTAGGGTGCAGTATATTTATATTCTTTGCTCCAGCTATTGTGAGATGCCTCAACATCTAAATTCCAGGCCTTGACTCATGTTCCTCCCTCGAGCTACGACGTCCTTTCTGTTCTTGGCTATCTGTGTGTGTTCCTTGGGTCTCAACACAGGAAATACCTCTTTGGGAAGCATTCTTGGACTCTCTAGGCTATCAGGTGGTTTCTCTGCACGCCGATATACTCTGACCTATCCCTAATGTGGCACATAGCACCCCGAATTGTGAGTGTCTGGCTTCCCCACCAGACTGGTTCTCACGAGAAGTGACTAGATGCTACAGGTCCAGGTCAGGGCTAAACACCTGGGGAGATGAGTGAATGAGGTGGGCATAGGAGGGAAGAGTGCAGGACAGGGCAGGGCTGAGGGGCCAGGCCAGGCCACACCTTGTCTATGTAACTCCGGCCCAGTTCTTTCACTTCCTGAAGGTGGACCTGGGCTTGGGCCTGGCTCTTCTTGCCCAACCGCCTCCGACAACGCTTCCGGTAGAGACAGAAACAGCAGCCAAAGAGGAGGAGGCCTGAGACCAGAAGGATGGCAGCCAGGGCCCAGGGTGGTACTGCAGAGGGCATGGAGACAACACTCATTGAAGCCCTAGGAAGCAAGCTGACTGATTCAGTCCGAATTACACGTGGAAGCTGGAATTCTGGCCTTGCTTCCCCTCCAGCCATTTCCAGTCCGTTATATTCTCGTGTTTTCCTTCCCACTGCTCTCACCTCTAAAGCGTTTTGATACCCTATTCTTGGCTGACACTATCCAGATGTTTTTGCCTGTTACCGGCACCTCCCCTTGCACCCCCATTCTAATTTCTACTCAACCCCTGACGCTTTTAAAAGCCATGCCCCTCCCCCTGCCTCAGTTTCTCTATCTCTAAAAGAAAGCAAAAGTGGCCCTTCCAATTCACAATTCAAGATCCCATTCCATTACACACTCTGATCTGGTGCTCGATTTCCTTGCAAACCTGTTCCTTTCTACTTGACTTAGAGTGAAGTCCAGGATTCCGACGGCAATGCCACTCGGATTGTCCCCGCCCGCCAGCCGAGTCCGAATCCCGCCCCCAAGAATCCCAGCCGGGCTTTCCCTCCGCTCTGGCCCCGAAACTCGCTCACCTGGGCCGTGGCGGATGCGACTGGAGTCAGGAGGCGTGTCGGGCGCTGGAAGCCCCGGGGTCGGGGACTCCGAGAACATGCCGGCGGGGTCCTACGGTCCCTTCTGCGGAGGCACCCAAGAGCCCTAGCCCCCCACGCCCACCCCGTGCATTCATTGAAGCCGAACTGCGTTCGGAACAACGCAGGACTCCAATTCCCATCAGCCCCCTGGGCGACTGGCCGCCTAGGAATCAGCCAGCAGCCGCGAGGCATGCTGAGGGTTGTAGTATCAGCCTTCCCGCGGCGGAGGGCGGGCGCGGGGGGCAGGTTCCAGGACCTCGTTCCATCCCACAGGGACGCCCCCGCCCTGCCAGCCCCTCAGGAGTCCCGCCGACTTCTACCGCTTCCATTCCCTTCCACTGGCCTGAACCGGAAGTGGGCGAAGGCAGGCGTGGGAACCGGGGCCCTGGGTGGAACCGAGCAACGGGTGGCTGATTCGGGCGGGGCCGGAGCTAGGATGGTTGCCCTGGCTGTTGCCAAGACAACGGGCGGGGCTGACGTATAGATGCAGAGTCCAGGCGCCGCAGGCTCGCTCCTCTCGCGGTCCGGACCCCAGCCCCGGAACCCGCGCCGAGCGAGCGTGGGGAGGGGGCAACCTCGGCCGTCTGTCCACGCGCCCACGGCTGGCTCCTCCCCGCACATCTGGCCCTGCGGGCGGAGCCTCAGGCTCCCCGGCCTCTCGGGCTCTGCGGAGGGCTCCCTGCCGCCGCTGCCCCGGCGGGGAGTGCGGTGGGGGGTGCATGGTGGGGGACGCGCATCCTTCCCGGCCTGCTGTCTCTCCCGCGCATCCCAAGCTCGGTCTTCACACCTGTCCTCGTGACCGCCTCGGCGCCCACCCCTCTCCATTCCCTATTTCTGTCCGTTCCCCCACCCGCCTCTCGCCGCGCCCCTGTCTCTGTCTCCCTTGCTCTCTGCCTGTGGTCCGGGCTGTGTCTCCAGGGGTGTCCCACTCTCGCCCCCTGCCTGCGCCCCCTTCCCCTCTGCTCATTGTCTCCACACACCTGTCCCTAAATCCCAATCTTCCCGTTGCAGTCTCCAGCCCTCCCACGCCCTCTGTCGGCCCCTCCCCAGTGCCCCCCCACCTCGCGCGCACACACACACACACACTCACGCCTCGTCTCTCCAGGGATGGGGATGAGGAAGGGGCTTTGGGAGGGGTCCCCAAGACTCCTACCTGCTCCGCGGCTGGACCGGACCTTCTCTTGAGACACTCCGGCGCCAGCCCCGCCCGGACCCCGCCTCCGCACGCGGGCGGGTGGCGCTGTCCTGGGTGCTGATCGCTGAACTCGGTGGGGCGGGGGCGCGGCAGAGCGGAGCCAGCCCGGGAGTGGTGGGTGGGTGTGTGTGCGCGCGCGCGCGTGCGTGCGTGCTAGGACTCGGGTACTGGGAGAGCCCCGGCCCGCCCCTCGGCCCGCCCCCAGCCAGGAACCACTAGGGCGTCCACGGATATTTATCCTGGTCCCTGAGGATTTTCTGCTTTCTGATCCAGCTGTCTGGCATCCAGGCCCCATCTGCGCACCTCCACCCTCACCGCCGCCAGAATACCTGGTCCTAGGACACCCTCTCCTAGGACCCAAGGAGTCAGATATCCACACAAGACTGAGACACAAGACTCAGCGCGAAAGCCTCCAGTGAGTCTACCCCAGACCTCACTCCAGCACAAGGCCCAGGAAGCAAGCCCCCTATGTTCCTACTCAGGAAACGGCGTCCACACTGCCCAGACCCGGGACACAAGTGTGGACCTCCAACCCTCTCTGAAAGACTCAACCATCCGAACACATTTTTGGGGGGTGCAAAACTGTGGGTCCCTCTAGCTATCCCCTAGGACATTTACCTCAGTTACTGAACATTGGGAATCCAGCCCCACTCCCACCCCAGTATTATTTCTAGACCCAGAAATCCACTATAGCAAGCATCTGTAGGGAGAATAGTGATTTAATAAATTATGGGATAGAAGAAAAAGATATGTACAGGCAGTGGGGTGCAGGGAAATCTCTGATCCTAGAAGACTGATATGGTTTCTGGAGTAAAACATGGCATGGATCCTGCCTGCCCTTGGTCCTGGGGGTAGCTAGCATTCCAGACTCTAGTTTCTTCTTTCTTCAGGATGCTGCTTACATCTCTAAGACCCTACAGCCTAGACCCCAGCCTCCTTCTCTCTCAAAGAATGAGGAAATCCTAGCTCCCATCCCTCCCTCCTTTGAGGAGTCAGGAATCCAGGATACCTGCTTCCACCTGCCCTCTCTCCTCTAGGGAAACATTTGAGGCTGTTCTCTACCCTCAGGACCCAGGAGTTTGGGAACCCAGCTGTCTGCTCTGCTGTCCCAGAGCTCCAGGAATCTGGGCTGAAGTGGGGATCCAGAGTTTAAGTTTAGCTGGGCTGGGGTCTCAGCCTTCCCGAGGCTCAGATATTCTTATACAGTGGGTTCTCATATGCGGCCCCATTTTCTGTCAGGGCTTGGTCTGGCTGCTGGAGAAATCGTAGGATGCACTGGTGCAAGAAGACATACTGGGCCTGGGGAAGGACATGTGGTATGGGGTGAGCCTTGGCCTGCTTTCCCCCAGGGCTCCCTCACCACCCGCACTGTGCCCTCAGAAGCCCCATCACCTCGGTCTGCACCATTAGAGGCCGGCTTTCCCTCATCTTCCTCACGTAGTTGAAGGGCCTCACACATCGATCACGCTCCAGCTGCCGCAGCAGGACATCCAAGGCAATGAGAGTGCCCGTGCGGCCCACGCCAGCACTAGGCAGGAACAAGAAGGGGTCAGGCCCCAGGAAGGGGGAGTCTTGGCTGATTGGAGGGATCTGTGTTTGGAGCTCCCAGAATCAGGGTATTGCTCAGCAAGGTAGCATTCTGGGGGATACGGTGTGAGTGGAGGTTATTTAACCGAGCGAAAACCACTGTGTATGACTGTGCCTTGAGTTCCTTCTGCCTGCTCGGTCTGGCCTCAAGTGTCCTAAATGCCCTTTTCATTTTCCTTGAGAAGTAGGAGCTGCCAACATGACCATTCTACAGATGGGAAATGGGGGCTGAGTGACAGGAAGTCACTTCTCTGTCCTGGGTCAGTCAGACAGTAAACCACAGAGTTGGAGTTCACACATGAGAAAAAGAACTCCCAAGCTGATCATTCAAAAAAAAATGTTTAAACATGTTAAAGAAAACAATTCTGTGGCATTTAGGATATTCACATTGTTGTGTGACCACCAGGTCTAATTAGTTCCCAGACGCTCCCATCTCCCCAGAAGGAGACCCTGTACCCATTAAGCAGTCGGCTCCCCCTGCACAGCTGTCCCCATCCCCTGGTGACCATCAACCTGTTTTTTGGCTCTGTGTGGATTTACCTATCCTGGACATCTCATGCAAATGGGATCCTACTATGTGTAACTTCATGTCTGGCTTCTTTCACTCAGCATCAAAGTTCCTCCACATCACGGAGTGAATCAATATTTCATTCCCTTTTAACGGTTCAAATTAATCCTCTCAACCACTCTGCAACGTCCCTTCTGTGCTTGGGGGGGTTGGGGTGGGGGAAGGATGACCCCCTGCTGGGGACACCTCCAGAAGGCACTCTGGGGACAGGGATGGTGTTAGGACACACTTCAGCAGAGTTTAAGAGTGCCACCATGGGCCACTTCCTATCAGCCTCGAACCCAAGACGAGCTTCCTGACTGGGTTTTCCCAGCCCTGCTGTGGGGAAGAAACCCTTTTGGTCATGAGGGTGCCCTGAGGACCAGGAAGACTGAGGCTGGCACGTGGTATGTGTTGTAGAAGTTCTGGCTATCATGGCAGCCAAGACCCCATTGCAGAGTCTGTCCGCCACTCCGGAGCAGGTCCCTTCCATTCCCCCCATAACCTCATCTACAGAGGCTGCAGGGTCAGTATCAGGAGAATGGCTGATGGGGTGAAGTCCTGGGCCTGCACTGGAGGTGCTTCAAATGTTCCTCTAAACCTCTGGCTGCTTGTTCCTCCTGCTCTTCAACCCCCCTCCTGCACCCCATTGCCGCATTCCTCTCCTTGACCTTTCCATCTGGCTTTCTTGTCTTGTCACCCGTCCTCATTTCCCTCTGCATTGCTGCCCCTTCGCCTTCTGCCTCCACCTCCTCCATCCTCCTTCCATCTCCTGTAGAAATGCCCAAGGACCCACAGAACCCCGGTTCCTGGGTCCCACAGGGGGTTGCTCTCCCAGCGAGGAGGTCCTCACCTGCAGTGAATAATGGGGGGACCTCCCCCCACAGTCTGGTCCAGCCACTGCCGGAGCATCTTCCAGAAGGCCAGTATGGGGTCTGGGGAGTAGGGGACGCTGTGGTCGGGCCAGGTCATGTAATGGAACTGACGTATGGGTAGCATCTTCTGCTCTTGCATCTGGAAGGAGAATGGGTTGGGGAGGGAGAGCTCAGGACCCCAGAGAGGGCTGGTTTTAAACCAGCGGGGGCAGCCCTGGGCACATTGTGGTCCCCTGGGAGAGTGACAGAAGGCTCGGCTTCACCAGGGTTTCTGAGGAGCAGAATTAGGGGGAGGAATTGAAGATCAGGACAGGGCTGGCAGAGAACAGCAGACTCACGTGCCAGAGCTTCAGGTCCCGGACTGTCCAGTTCTCCAGCACCTCCTCACCCTCCAGGGTCACTTGGAGATGCCCATATGTGCAGGGCTTGGTGTCCAGAGGCCAGTAATGCTCACACTTCACCTGAGGGGCAACTGGGAGGTCAGGAGGCCCCAGAGAGCCCATCCCGGTACCCATCTGCACTGTGGCCTTTGCATTCAGTGCCTGGTGATAAGGCAAGACCTTCAGGAAACCAGGTTAGATTCACCCCAGCCAGGAGGACCCCTCCTTCTCAAAGCCATTGGGACGTATGGACCAATGGATGCGCTTGGGGGTCAGATAGGACGGAATCAGCGAGATCTAGGTCAGGGTCGACAGTGGGATCAGTTTCGGGATTGGAGCTCTGGGGTCACCCACAAGACCCCTGCAAGTCTCTCACCTGGCCGGATTCCACACAGTTGGTCAGCATGACCAGGGTGTGGCTCTGCTGCTCCCACACCAGGCGCCAGAAGTCACCCACTGTCTGGGGCAGGGGGCCCTGGGCGGCAATGAACTCTTGGGGATCCTCGAGACCCTTGTGGAGGGAAACAAGCAAGTTGTGACCCCCTCCAGCTCCTCCCTTGTCAGCATCACTCAGCACCCTCCTGGCTCCCAATAGCAACCTTACAGGCATGAAGCTGGCGTTGATGTAGTCAGAGCCTGGCTCATCCTGGAGGGGCTTCAAGGACACACGGGACCAGTCATCTAGGGGAAGAGGCCAGCATTTGTGAAGCGGGGCAGGGGGGTGGAGACCCAGGGACAGAAGTCATGCTGAAGGCAGACAGGCATTGGGAGCTCTGAGAGGGGCCAAGGGACCTCATCTGGGAGGACTGGGCTGGGGGAGCAAGAGTTTTGTGTCTCACAGGGGATGGGGATGGGGTCGGGGATGGAGTGTTGACAAAATCATGGCTGGGGATTAAGTCAGCAGAGGCTTAAGACTCACAGGGCAGCACGTTTCTGTAACGGTTCTTGGCACCATTTTCAGGAGCTGAGGCCACCGTTTGAGACTGGTTGTGGCTCTCCAGATACAATTGCTGGGGGCAGAGACAGAGGGGGTGGACAGGCATTACATTTTCTCCACCTTCCTCCAAGGATACCCCCCTCAGCACACCCAAATCACCCCCCCACACCCTGGAATTCTGCAGCACCCACAAAAATAGATCATGTGGACCACCCTCACCGTAGGGCACTTGGGAGGATTTGGAGGACAGTGGGGACTGGGGAGGTAGTGAGAGAAGAGGCATCAGGGGAAAACTAAGATGTTTCTTTAACTGACCCGAGGGCCCATCATAGTGTAAGATTTCCATGAGACAAAAAAAAAGAATCTCTCATTGCATAAGCATAAAAATAGATGCGGCTGCTCTTGTAGAATTCCAAAAAAGTGTGGCGGGATCTGGGGTGGGCATGTGGGGCTCAGCTCAGCCTCTTTGCTTCTCACCCACCTGGTATTCCTTTTCGAAGCCATTATTGCTGTCCATCTCATTTTTCCTGATGTGGTCAGCAAAGTCTTCTGCTAGGATGTCCTTTGAGAGGCTGTAGGAAAGGGGCAGAATTAAACTTCCACCAATCCTGTGATCTTGGAGTAAAAGAAAAGCCTGTTTCCCTCCCTGGTTGTTGTTAACCGCCCCAGAACCTATACGCAGCTTTTAACTGGAAGTTTGCACCTTCTGAGCCCCTTTGCCCAAGTCACCAGCCCTCCACCCTCTGCCTCTGCCAACCAACATCTATTTTCAGTTTCTATGAACTCAGGGTTGGTTTGTTTGTTTGTTTGTTTGTTTGTTTTTAACTTCAAGTACAAGTGATGTCATGCAGTATTTCTCTTTCCCTGTGTGACTTATCTCACTTAATATCATGTCCTCCAAATCTGCACATTTTATCACAAATGTCAATATTTTCTTCTTCTTTTTTTTTAAGACTGCATAAATACGGGGATCCCTGGGTGGCTCAGCAGTTTGACGCCTGCCTTTGGTCCAGGGTGTGATCCTGGAGTCCCGGGATCAAGTCCCACATCAGGCTCCATGCATGGAGCCCGCTTCTCCCTCTGCCTGTGTCTCTGCCTCTCTCTCTCTCTCTCAGTCTGTGTCTCTCATGAATAAATAAATAAAATATTTTTAAAAAGACTGCATAAATACTCCATATATATACACCACATTTGCTTTATGCACTCACCCATCAGTGGCTACCTAGGTGCCTCCTAGTTTTGGCTCTTATGCTTGATGCTGCATCGAACGTGGGGATTGCTATCATTGAGATAGTGATCTCATTTCCTGAACATAAATACTCAGAAATGGGGGCACCTGGGTGGCTTAGTGGTTGAGCATCTGCCGTCGGCTCAGGTCATGATCCCGGGAGCCTGGGATCGAGTCCCCCCGCCCCCCGCATTGAGCTCCCAGAGGGGACCCTGCTTCTCCCTCTGTCTGTGTCTCTGCCTCTGTCTGTCTCTCATGAATAAATAAATAAAATCTTTTAAATAAATAAATAAGTTCTAAGAAGTGGACTTGCTGGATCAAAGCGGTGTTTTTGATTTACTAGTTCCATTCCTGAACAGAAAGTCGGGTCTCAAAGAGACAAGGATGCCCCCATGTTTGCAACAGCATTATTCAAAGAGCAAAGGTGGAAGCAGCCCAGTGTCTACCACCCTTCATCCACCGCTCACTCACTCATCACTTCATTTGTCAGTGGAGGCACCGATGGACAAAATGCAGTCTGTACAATGAAATATTACCCTACCTTAAAAAGGAAGGATGTTCCAACATAGGCTACACCACGGATGAACGTGGAGGACATTATGCTGGGTGAGACAAGCCAGTCACAAAAGGACAAATACTATAGGAGTCACTTCTCTGAGGTCCCTGGAGGAGTCGGATTCATAGAGACAGAAGGTATAGTGGCATCAGGGGCTGGGGAAAGGGGAAGGGAAAGGACGTTTACTGGAGACAGAGTTTCAGTTCTGCAAGATGGGAGAAGTTCTGGAAACGGATGGTGCTCATGGTTGCATGACAGTGTGAATATGCTTAACACCACTGAACTGCACACCTACAATCAGGTAAGATGGCCAAATTTATGTTATATGTATTCTACCACAATTAAAGTGGTTTAATTTTTAAATGATAAAAAGGAAAAAGGTGCTTCTCCCATTTCAGGCCACTTCCGGGCTCTGATTCCTTCCACCTTCCTCAGCATCCAATCCTCCTTCTCATCCTCCTTCTCGTCTGCATATCTACCCTGCCCTCTTCCCTTTAGCTGGTCAATATGCTAATCTCGCTTCTATATTAAAATAAAAAAGGCTTTTGACCTCATATAGCTCCAGCTCCAACTCCTTGTCACTCCTCTCCTTGTAAGAGAGCTTTATGAACACTGTCTTGACCCAGTTTTGAGGCCAGATGAGAGGCCAATCTGTCCCCCTCCTTGAGCAGTGGTTAAACCCACACACCCACCAGCTCCTTCATGGGGGCCTCACGCTCTCCCCCACAGGGACCAGGCGCCTGACGAGGGTAGCCTCTGTACCCCAGAGCTCACCAAAGTGAGTTACATTAAGCCCAATTGCCTGGTGTTGCCCATTCCCTCTCACAGAATCCACTGTCGAGTCCCTTGCCCACATTTCCCTCACCTCCCCTACCTGCAGACTGAGCCCACCCCTTCTCCGTGTAGCCCTCTCTTGGGATCTGCCAGTATAATAGACTATGTTTTCAGTGGCAGTCATGAAAGTGGCTGCCATGTCTCACTGGCTCCATCATATCTACACAACAACAAACCTGTTAAAGCAAACACCTATACACATTCAAACTTCTGCAGGCCAGGTTCCTCTGCTGCGTTTATGCACTTCACCAAGGCCTGCTGTCTGCAGCATTAATCCACGTAGTAAGGACATTTTTCCTCAGAGCCCCCTATTTTATCTGACTCCTTCTCTCCAATTCCAAGGGTCACCTCTCAGTCCATTGTTGGCGTGACTGCTCGGCAGCATTTAGCTTCAAAAACTGCTCCTCCCTTCTTCCTGGACCCTCTCCCCTGCATGTCATCACCACCATGCCCCTGGCCATGACTTCTCCATCTCCATGGGCCCTTCTTTCTGCATCCACAAGATAAGGTGGATGCTCCCGAGAGTCCAAGTCTGTCTCCAAGCCCGTTTTCTCACTGCACTCACACTTCTCATGGGGTTTCATCCATTCCCATGGCTTTACTTTCGAGCTCTACACTTGGAATTACAAATTCCATCATTAGTTCCCACTGCTCACTCTTTTGAGCTTCCGATCAACGTGCCCGCCTGCTGCCTGGAACCTGCTCCTGACATCCCAGCGGATTATCACTAGGACATCCGGACATACCTATGGAAGTTGCAGATGGCAAAGTGCTCAACATAGAGACAGTGCCAGGTTTGGAATCCAATGAATGGAGTGGTTTGTTGCAGATGCCAAATAGGGCAGGTAAGGTGGGAAGAAGTCAACTTTATGAATGGTGGGACGCTGGCCAGAACAGGTCCTATGGCAAAGGAGAAACTGGACCTCACCTTTCCCCACACCTCATGTATATGCTTCTGATGACACCTCTTTTTGTGGACAGGCTGTCACAGCTGTTCTCCCAGCTTCCTATCTCTCCTCTCCTCTGTCAATCCCTGGGGATCATTCTAACCTAGAGATTCGATGATTGTTGACCTGACCCAAACAAGACACAGTACAATAAAGACATTTGCACAGAGCTTCTCTTCAACTGTTCATTCACCTGCTCCATCAGGAGTGTCTCTGCGTAGATGTCCCATAAGTATCCCCAAATTAATGTGTCTATAACTGAGGGGCTGATACTTTCCCCCAAATCTGCCCCCCCCAGAGTCATTACATCTCAAGCAATGGTGATTCCAGTCTTCCCGCTGCTCAGGATGAATTCCTTGGGCTCATTCTTGAGCCCTCTCTGACTCCCAAACTACATGCCCATTCTTTAGCCAGATCTGTTGTTTAAAGACTCAAACCATATCTAGAATATTGACTACCTCTAGCCATTTTCAGGTCCAAAACAATAATCTCTTGTTTGAATTTTTATATACCTCTTCCTCCGTCTCTCTGCTCTTGCCTTTGCTTCTTAAAAAGGTTAAATTGGATCACCGAGTCTATTCAAAAGCCTCCAAAATCTTCCATCTCCAAAGGAAATCAAACTCCTTACTTGTATCTGGAAGGCCCTACCTGACCTGGTCCCACCTCAGGGACCTCATTTCCTGCCCTACCCTCCTTCATTTATTCTGCTCAGTCTCAGAGATACCAACATTCTCCAAGCATGCCCCTGCTTCAGGGCCTTGCATTTGCTGGTCCCTCTGCCTAGAATACCCTTTCCCAAGACATGCACAAATGAATTCCTCTTAGTTGTCTTAATCTTCCTTTTCCTGGACACCTGTCTACAATTTTCTCTAATTTTAACACCCAATCTAAAATACCCTTCTACTCTTCCTGTGCCTGACACTGCTCAGTGAATATTTTGTAGGATGCATAAAGTCCCAGAGCTGGAACTGGGATTGACTCCAAAGCCACTGGCTCAAGTTATGGAAAGCAATGGAACACTTGTGATCCCTTGGGCAGAAGGCATTGTGTGGGTGGGTTCACTGAGCCCACCCTCTGATCTACCCAGTGACCAGCAAACACACCTTGAGTTGACCTGAGAGCTATTCTTCTAGATGCTCCCCCAACATGTACTGTTTACCTGAAAACGAGACCCCTGGGTGCTGGTTCCCTCTGGCTCTTATTGTGCCTGGAAAAAAGACATTGCAATGGAAGGCTCAGGGAGTCAGACTGGAGCCAGGGATCCTCACACTCCCCTTGGCCCCCACTCCATGTGATCAGTCAGCGCCATGCAGAGTCCCACCTCTTCTTCAGGAAGAAAATCAGCAGACCCACCAGGATGAGAAACAGGATGACACCAAAAATGGCTCCAGCAATCACCCCTGGAGAAGAAGACATGGGGACCTGTTAGAATCAGCCTCATCCACTGGCAACTTGTCTCTCCTACCTCTGTCCTTGCTTAGACTGTGACAAGAGAGCCTACAGGGCTGATGTGAGGGCAGAGACGGAGAGGATAAAGCCTCTGGATAGAGCCCTACCTCCCACTCAACCTTCCCAGGAGCCCAGTCCAAAGACATCATTTGCTCAAGTAGCCTGGATGCCAGAGTGACTCTACCACTCCTTGGACTAGACTAATGGTTCTCAGCAAGGGCAATTTTGACCCTCAGGGCACATCGCCAATGTCTGGAGACATTTTGGGTTGTCACAAATGGAGTGGTGGTGCACTGGCTTCCAGCAGATGGAGGCCAGGGGTACTGCTTCACATCCTACAATGTACAGGACAGCCCTCACAGCAAAGAATGATCCATCCCCAAATGTCAATAGTGCCAAGATTGAGAAGCCAGTATCTGACATTGATGGCATTGATAGCATTGATGGTTCGCCTCAGAATGAAGGCTCATCTTCTCAAAGTCCTGTTTGCTAACAGAAGGGCTCTTCTGCAGCAATGGTGCCAAAGATCTTGGCCTCAGGCTCTAATGGGCACAGATTTCCCAGGATCTATCCTTAGATGCCTGGTCTTGGGGCAGACTCCAGCCCACAGCCTACCTCCATCTGATGTGGTAGCCCCAGCTTCCCGACAGTCTTGATTACAGGACCTGTCAACAGGCTCTGGTAGTCTTACACAGCCTGGTGGGGTGGCCCATTTTCCTCATGGACCTGGTCCCACACAATTAGACAAGAGGATCTTTCCTCCCAGGGACCTTGCTTTCTAAGCAACACACACTCCTGGGCACTAAGATCCAGAGAAGCCCAGTTGGGAGTAGAATCCATTTATCGTTGCCTCAACTGGCAGCCTCTCTCCAGATCAGAGATCTTTTTTTTCTTTAATATTTATTTATTTATTCATGAGAGACATACGAGAGAGAGAGAGAGAGAGAGAGGCAGAGACACAGGCAGAGGGAGAAGCAGGCTCTCCTCAGGGAACCCGATGTAGGACTCAATCCCGGATCCCGGGATTATGACCTGAGCTGAAGGCAGCCGCCCAACCACTGAGCCACCCAGGCGTCCAACAGATCAGGTATCTAATCTTTTAAGAGGTCCTGATTTGTAGGAAGTGACTGAGGGGGCCCAATGAAGCCTATGACCACAGTCAAAGGTATATGATCAGAGATTTCCCAAGTGTGAAGCTCAAACTTCTCTGAAATACCCCAATGATGAGTGGAAAATGGTGTAGCCACATTGGAAAAAAGTTTGGCAGTGCTTCAAAGGACAAACACAGAGTTGCCCATTTGATCCTTCAATGCCACTAATGTGTATATACCCAAGAGAAATAAAAATGCATGTCTGCACAGAAGTGTGTACATGAATGTTCATAGCAGCATTACTCACAATAGCCAAGATGTGGAAATCACCAACTGATCCCTCTGCAGACAATGGATAAATGGATAAACAAAACATGGTCTCTCCATGCAATGGAACATTATTTGGCAATAAAAAGGAACAAAACCCTGACACATGTTACAACATCAATGAACCTTAGAAACTTTATACCAAGTGGGAGAAACCAGCCACAGAAGACCACATATTGTTTGATTGTATTTTTAGGAAATGTCCAAAATAGGCAAATCTGTAGGGAACAGAAGGCGAATTTGAGATTCCCTAGCCAGGTTGGTGGGAAGTGGAAAAATTAGGGGGTGATGGCTCAAGGGAGCAATCTTTCTTTCGTGGGTAAGGAAAATGTTCTATGTGAAGGTGATGGGGTGGCATAGTGCTGTGGATATACTGGAGACATCAGCTGTATACTTTAAATGGGTGCATTGTACGATATGTGAATTGTATCTCAAACTGTTTCGAAGAAAGCAAAAAACAGGGACGCGTGGGTGGCTCAGCAGTTGGATCTGCCTTTGGCCCAGGGCGTGATCCTGGAGTCTCAGGATCAAGTCCTACATCAGGCTCCCTGCAGGGAGCCTGCTTCTCTCTCTGCCTCTGCCTCTCTCTCTCTCTCTCTCTCTCTGTCTCTCTGTCTCTCTGTCTCTCTCTGTGTGTCTCTCATGAATAAATAAATAAAATCTTTTTTAAAAAAAGAAAGCAGAAAACAAAGCAGACAAACATACAGGACCCTTTGGATGGGTAAGATTGCCTCACAACAGAGCCTAATGGGGTCTCCGTAGCTCTATCCCTGCAGGGCTCTGCTCACCTGCATTGTCAGTGTGGCAGGTCACAGAGACAGACGGGGCTCTCATTCCATCCCAGATGGTCGTGACGGTGGCTGGGTAGGACTGGGCCGGCCTGAGATCTGAAACAGACACGCTCCTCCCACACGAGGACCTGTTCTGGGAGTCCCCCTGTCCACCCACCTGCCACTCAAAGGCCTCGTAGCCTCCCTGGGGGCAGGACCAGGTCAAGATGACCCCATAGCCTCCAGAGGTGCTGATGCAGGACATGATGGTGACCGGGCTCGGGGCTGGGTGGAGGGGACAGGAGGACTCAGTAGGAGCCATACAGGGTGGCTTTCCATCCCCCCCCCACGACCCCCACTTCCCACCTGTGCTGCTAATACTCTGAGAACTCGCCCATCCTTTCCTTTGCAACACCAGAACACCACTTCATCTCTCATATTCTGTCCTCCCCAAATAGACATACAACAGACCCCCCCTTCAAACTACAACTCCCATGAGCCCTTGGATGCTCTGCATCACTATAGCTTATAAGGCCATGATGCCATGACCTCATGGGATTTGGAGTCCACTCACCTCCCACTGCCCCCAGGTCTGACCTAAGCTCCTACCTGCTGGAAGGGGGCCCATCTCACCTGTGGATGCAAGGAGGCTCTGTGCCCAGCTGGTCACATTGTTCCTCTCTGCCCATACGCTGAGGTTGTACAGGGTCCCGGGTTCCAGGGCCTGTACCTCATAGCGAGTCTCATTGGTTCTGCCTATCTGGCTGGCCTGATGTTCTCGGGGGTCTTGCTCTCCTTGGGGATGTCCCCCAGGGGCCCACTGGACCCAGTATGTGTAGGTCTGAGAGTGGGAGTCTGTGGGGGCCTTCCACCCCAGAGTGATGGAGCTGTTGTTCTGAGTTTCGTTGTGCAGATCTGTGACCCTGTTGGGAGCTGACAACAGTGGGGATAGAAGCTCAAGGAGGTGTACCCTCAAGGACCCTTGAACCCGGGCCTGCTCACCTCCCCTGATTCCTTGGTCACCAGATGTGTCTACTTCCTAGGGCCAGGTGCAGACCAGGCTTGCTTGGGCCTCTCTGTCTTGAGTCTGTAGTACTGGGTCCCCACATCACTTTTCTCTACACTATCTCCCGCATGAGCTAGCTTGAAGCAGGGTTCTTCTTTACTTCTGGACACTTCTTTCTAGACAAAGCTGCTGACTTCAGTCTTCTTAGCCCAAGTGGCCAAAAACTAATGAGCTCCAAGTTCTCTCCACCCACAGAGAACCTAGTTTCTGGGGTAATTTTGGTCCTGTCACACTTGGGACCCTTCATACAGAGGATGAGAAGAGGGCCCCTTTGGTTCAGCAAGTACACTGGGTTGAGCTGTACACTTCTGGCTTTGGCTTTGTTGGTTCCTAAGGGGTGGTGCTGGGCAGTCAGGGACTCTCTTCATACCCAAAGACAGCCTCATGATTGGAAAACCCTGGCTGCTGAAGACAGATTCTTCCTAGGAAGCAGATCTACAAGCTCAAGGTCTAATGAGGCTGGATGGGGTCACCAAAGTTTCTCCAGCCCTCTCCTTCACCCATGTCAATAGTACTGAGTCTGTCTAGAACTAGCCCGAGTCTCACCAGTGGCTTCAGTGAGTGTCCTGCTGTCACTGCTGACTCCATTCCTCTCTGCCCAGACAGTGAAGGTATACAAGCTCCCAGCTTCCAGTTCCTTCAGTGTGATGCTGGTATCTGGGGTGTCCTGGGTGTTAATGGCAATAATGCCCTCCTTGACCCATGAGACCCCGTAGGTGTAGGGAGGTTGATCTGGGCCCAGGGGAGCTGTCCAGCTCAAGGTGATGGAGCTATTGGTCTGGTCCTGTGTCCCAAGACTTGTCACTGCATTGGGGACTGGCAGAAGGAGCAGAGAGTTAGAGTTTCCAATCCCTGATCCACAAGAGTCCAGAACACAGCCTTCCTGTGCAGCCAGACTTATAAAGGAACACTTCCTAGAGATGGGGCCTCAAGAGGCCTGGGTGCCTGCAGCCCTAAGTTCAGCAGGAGATTTCTGAACAGGTCTGTCCCCAGGAATGGCCACAACTTCCTGCAGACTCAGCATTTGGGTCGGGCTGAGGTCATAGAGACAATGGCTAGATCCCAGAGCCCAGAGGAGGTGCCATCTTGGCCAATTCTTAACCTCTCACCAAAACAGAGAATAGGCATTGATGCTTATCATCTGTGGAGTTGCTGAGGTTCTGACTGGAGACAGGTACTTCATTCTTTTTGCGCACACAGTTATTTTGTACAAGATCCCAGTTTAGGGCCCCTCTGCTGGGAAATTAAGGTTGGCTGAGTGTCGGGTCTCAATTCTGTCTCCCTCTCTAGTCCACTGGAATCAATACACATGGTCCAGAAGGCCAAGGCCCAGGGACACCACCCAGATCAGGGTGATGTAGCTGATAGTCTGAGCTTCCATCCTCAAGACTGTGGCTTGGGGACTAGGAGAAGACTCAGGGGATTGGAATCCTGAGGGGCTCCACATATTCCACACCCCTCATCCCCCCAGAGCTGAGACAACATGACTTTGCTCCCTACATAGCCCTGGTTGCTAAGGAGAGTCACCCTCTAGGCTTATGGTCTGTATTCTAAAGGGTCCTAGGGCCTGACAATCCCAACTCAGAACCTGTGATGTTCTTTCTTCATCTCCTGCTCAACATGACCCATGATCCAAGGAGACTGTGAGTTAGAAAGTCTGCTCCATTATCCTGGAAATTCTCCACCACCACCTATCATCTCTCATTTAGAAGAAAAAAAGAGAGAGAGAGAGAAAAAAAAACAAGAGTGGCAGCTGCCTCTCACCTGTGGTGGCGTTGCAAGTCTTGTTGGAGCTGCTGACTCCATTCTTCTCTACCCACACGACAAATTCATACAAGGACCCGGGTTGCAGTCCATCCACTATGACACTGGTGTTGGTTGTGCTTTTGGTCTCATTACCAGTCCACTGGATCCAGTAGGTGTAGTTACTAGGGTCAGGGTCGGCCGGCTCTACCCAGCTCAGGGTGACAGAGCTGGTGGTCTGGGCCTCCACACTCAGGTTTCTGACAGGGTTGGGAGCTGAGAATCGGGAAGGAGGGCCCAGTGTGAGCAGGGGAGCAGCCAGTGCTGTCTCTTCCACTACACCTAGTCTTATGGTCTCCTGCTAAGGAGAGTCACCCCCTAGTTCTATGGGCTGTACTCTAAGGGTCCTAGACCCTGACTGATCCCAACTCAGAATCTATTATGTTCTTTCTTCATCTCCTGCTCAACCTGACCCAAGGAGACTGTGAGCTATAGAGGCTGCTGCACTGTTCTGGCAATTCTCCACCACCACCTATCACCTCTCACTAAAGAAAAAAAAAAGGAGAAAGAACAGGAGTGGCAGCTGCCTCTCACCTGTGGTGGCGTTGCAAGTCTTGTTGGAGCTGCTGACTCCATTCTTCTCTACCCACACGACAAATTCATACAAGGACCCGGGTTGCAGTCCATCCACTATGACACTGGTGTTGGTTGTGCTTTTGGTCTCATTACCAGTCCACTGGATCCAGTAGGTGTAGTTACTAGGGTCAGGGTCGGCCGGCTCTATCCAGCTCAGGGTGACAGAGCTGGTGGTCTGGGCCTCCACACTCAGGTTTCTGACAGGGTTGGGAGCTGAGAATCGGGAAGGAGGGCCCAGTGTGAGCAGGGGAGCAGCCAGTGCTGTCTCTTCCACTACACCTAGTCTTAAGGTCTCCTGCTAAGGAGAGTCACCCCCTAGTTCTATGGGCTGTACTCTAAGGGTCCTAGACCCTGACTGATCCCAACTCAGAATCTATTATGTTCTTTCTTCATCTCCTGCTCAACCTGACCCAAGGAGACTGTGAGCTATAGAGGCTGCTGCACTGTTCTGGCAATTCTCCACCACCACCTATCACCTCTCACTAAAGAAAAAAAAAAAGGAGAAAGAACAGGAGTGGCAGCTGCCTCTCACCTGTGGTGGCGTTGCAAGTCTTGTTGGAGCTGCTGACTCCATTCTTCTCTACCCACACGACAAATTCATACAAGGACCCGGGTTGCAGTCCATCCACTATGACACTGGTGTTGGTTGTGCTTTTGGTCTCATTACCAGTCCACTGGATCCAGTAGGTGTAGTTACTAGGGTCAGGGTCGGCCGGCTCTATCCAGCTCAGGGTGACAGAGCTGGTGGTCTGGGCCTCCACACTCAGGTTTCTGACAGGGTTGGGAGCTGAGAATCGGGAAGGAGGGCCCAGTGTGAGCAGGGGAGCAGCCAGTGCTGTCTCTTCCACTACACCTAGTCTTATGGTCTCCTGCTAAGGAGAGTCACCCCCTAGTTCTATGGGCTGTACTCTAAGGGTCCTAGACCCTGACTGATCCCAACTCAGAATCTATTATGTTCTTTCTTCATCTCCTGCTCAACCTGACCCAAGGAGACTGTGAGCTATAGAGGCTGCTGCACTGTTCTGGCAATTCTCCACCACCACCTATCACCTCTCACTAAAGAAAAAAAAAAAGGAGAAAGAACAGGAGTGGCAGCTGCCTCTCACCTGTGGTGGCGTTGCAAGTCTTGTTGGAGCTGCTGACTCCATTCTTCTCTACCCACACGACAAATTCATACAAGGACCCGGGTTGCAGTCCATCCACTATGACACTGGTGTTGGTTGTGCTTTTGGTCTCATTACCAGTCCACTGGATCCAGTAGGTGTAGTTACTAGGGTCAGGGTCGGCCGGCTCTATCCAGCTCAGGGTGACAGAGCTGGTGGTCTGGGCCTCCACACTCAGGTTTCTGACAGGGTTGGGAGCTGAGAATCGGGAAGGAGGGCCCAGTGTGAGCAGGGGAGCAGCCAGTGCTGTCTCTTCCACTACACCTAGTCTTAAGGTCTCCTGCTAAGGAGAGTCACCCCCTAGTTCTATGGGCTGTACTCTAAGGGTCCTAGACGCTGACTGATCCCAACTCAGAATCTATTATGTTCTTTCTTCATCTCCTGCTCAACCTGACCCAAGGAGACTGTGAGCTATAGAGGCTGCTGCATTGTTCTGGCAATTCTCCACCACCACCTATCACCTCTCACTAAAGAAAAAAAAAAGGAGAAAGAACAGGAGTGGCAGCTGCCTCTCACCTGTGGTGGCGTTGCAAGTCTTGTTGGAGCTGCTGACTCCATTCTTCTCTACCCACACGACAAATTCATACAAGGACCCGGGTTGCAGTCCATCCACTATGACACTGGTGTTGGTTGTGCTTTTGGTCTCATTGGCAGTCCACTGGATCCAGTAGGTGTAGTTACTAGGGTCAGGGTCGGCCGGCTCTATCCAGCTCAGGGTGACGGAGCTGGTGGTCTGGGCCTCCACACTCAGGTTTCTGACAGGGTTGAGGGCTGAGTATTGGGAAGGAGGGCCCAGTGTGAGCAGGGGAGCAGCCAGTGCTGTCCCTTCCACTTCCTCCGACTCTTGCCCGAGTCCAGAAAGAACCACCTCCATCAGTGCCAACTACGGATCACCCTGCCCTCCATGGGGCCACCCCTGCACCAGAGCTCATGGGGGTTGAGTGCACCCTCCTCTCTGTATAGGGTGTCAATTCGGCAGGGGTCACTCACCAGCCACCCTTGCTCCTGTCCAGCTGCACAGGCCCTGGGGAGAACCCAGAGGGAAGAGTCAGTTCCTTAGTCTCATCTTCCTTGACTCAGGGGAGACAATGGGGCTGGGAGGGGCTGACCAGTGACCCTCTTGTGCTCTGCCCCCACCTTGCAAGTCTCTGGGGCCTGAGGGAGAAGAGGGACAGGTGGAGTTGTCTCCTCCCTCAGACTGGGCTCTAAACAAAAGTCACCCCAATGTCCCTCTTTCTTCTTTTCTGGGTATGTATGTGTTGAGGGGGAGGAGGGGGAAGTGTGGCAGGAGCCCGACTGCGTTCCCAAAGGAGGGGCTGGGGCCTGGACTCCCCAGTCCGAGGGAGGAGGGGGCTGGAGAACTGCACTTCTGGGTGAGCCCAGCTGCGTCTTGCCAGAAACCAGAGTTCACTCAGAGTGGATGGCCTTACCTGAGAGCTCAGGTGTGACTGGCTGATAACCCAGGAGCCTGCTTACTAGTCCAGAAGATCATCAGCCCCTCAGGACCCTAGCTCCCTGCCCCTGTCTGGGAGCACTCACCAGCAGCACCAGGTTCCCCCAGGTCCTGAGGTCCCCTCTGGTCCCCTTCATGTCTCCAGACACTGCAGATGGACCCAGGTGTCCCAACCCGACCTTTCACCTGCTGGACTTTAAACACAAGAATTTCCACTTTCTGAGCTGCACAGTGAGGCCACCGGCCAGGGCGGGAAGGGAGGAGGAGGAAGTAGAGGCTCCCAGCCCCACCCCAGCCCTCCGCCCTGGTTCTGGTCTCTGGAAGCCCCTGCTCCACCCCTCCTCAGGCCATGGGGTCTCCCCTCCAGCTCCTGGCTCGCCTTACACTATTCCACCAAAACCACCTGGATAAGAGGCTGTTTCCCCGCTGCTGCGTGGATGGGCAGCACAGGTCCTGGATGGTCGGAGCTGGAGGCAGCCCTGGGGGAGAGATGCCTTGGGCCCTGTCTCTCAAGGGGACCAGGCTGAGTGTAAACCCCTGTGCCACAGTGGGCTCTGCCCATTGACCCAGGTCCTGTCACCTCTCCCTGTCTCCACAAGACTAGAGGCCCCCCAACCAGCAGGAGCCCAGGTCACTCCTACCTGCCTGTCTGCCTTTGCATACGCAGACTCCCCACCAGGTGCACCATCTTTCCCTCAACCCCCCCTGCAATCTCATTCCCACTCCTCCCTCCGGATGCAGCCCCAGATGGATCACGCTGCATCCGACACCTTCTTAGCCCCATCAGGACCCTAGGCTGTATCTGTCACACATGCCAGACAGTCAGTATTTGCTTATTCACCTTGTCCGTTCTACATGCGACCTTGAGCAAAGTCCCTTAAACTCACAGTGACTCAGATTCATCAGCTATTAAAAAAAATGGATACAACCCCTTATCAACATCATGTGAGTAATAAATGAGTCCATACATAAAACCTGAGAACAGTGCCTGGCTCTTTTAAAACCCTTGACAGATTGTAGCCGCATGTATTTTGGTTCATCCCTAAGACCTCCTGCGCCCAGAAGGGCTTCGCAGGGTATTTTAGGGACTTACTAGTTATATGCACATGCGGCTGCCTTCACCTCACAGGCAGCATGAAAGCAAGAACAAGTCTTGGAGTCACATGTCTGCATTCCTACCACTACCCACCTATGTGACCATACATGGCATCCAGCCTCCCTGCATCTCTCTGTCTTCTTGGTTTTGAGATGGAATCGAAGACACTGTCTACCGCAGATCTGGAGCAGCTGTCTGCTTCTGGCCAGTTCTGGGCCCCAGGCATCCCCAGGTCTTCTATTTGAGAAAAGGTTGCCTCTTCTCTGTCTCAGAGATAAATACTACCTATGTCAAAAAGCCATTGTTATAGTGAGCTGACACGTCTGTATGAGCTACCTACTGCTGTGTCACAAATCACTCCAAGACTTGGTGGCATAGATGACGGTGAACACATCCCATCTCTTGAGTTCCGCATGCCAGGAATTCAGGAGTGTCCTGGCTGGGTGGTTGTGGCTCATATTTTCTCCTGAGGATGACACCAAGATGTTGATGGGGGCTGCGTTATCTGAAGGTTTTTGACCATGGCAGGAGACTAACTTTCAGGAGGGTTCACTGGCATGGCTGTTGGCAGGAGACAGCATGTCATGGCATGTCCTGGGTGTCCTCAAAGCATGCTACCAGCTTCCCCCAGAGTGAGTGGTCTGAGAGAGAGCAAGACAGAAGTCACAATATGTTTGCCGACCTTGCCCCCAAAGGCACACATCATCATTTCTGGCACATCCCACTCATTACGCTGGTCAGCCTCTTTCATGTGGGGGGACCCCACAAGAATGTGAGAGCTGGGAAGAGTGGACCATTGGGGTCATCTCAAATGCAGGCAGCAACCCTATCCTGTGAGCACATAGTGATCATCTAGTAGACATGGCTGTGTTTACTACCTTCTTTCTACACAGGACAAAGTGGGAAAGAGGAACATGCCACTAGCACTCTATTGCTCGCTCTGGAAGCATCTGGGGGCTTTGACACCTTCCCCACCACAGAGGAGGAAGAGGGGACTCTGTGCTGAGTCCCCAGAATCTCGTCAGCCTGTTTCTTCTACGATGAGACTTCCTTAAAGATGTCCCCAGAGGACCCAGGGCATTTGTACCTTCCCCATTTTTAGTGACCATGGCCTTGACAGGGAAGTTCAGCTAGCTGTTCATTCCAGGTTCCTGTCCCATGGGGCTCTGCTCACCTGCATTGTCGGTGTGGCAGGTCACAGAGACAGACGGGGCCCTCATTCCATCCCAGATGGTCGTGACGGTGGCTGGGTAGGACTGGGCCGGCCTGAGATCTGAAACAGACATGCTCCTCCCACACGAGGACCTGTTCTGGGAGTCCCCCTGCCCACCCACCTGCCACTCAAAGGCCTCGTAGCCTCCCTGGGGACAGGACCAGGTCAAGATGACCCCATAGCCTCCAGAGGTGCTGATGCAGGACATGATGGTGACCAGGCTCGGGGCTGGGTGGAGGGGACAGGAGGACTCAGTAGGAGCCATACAGGGTGGCTTTCCATCCCCCCCCCACGACCCCCACTTCCCACCTGTGCTGCTAATACTCTGAGAACTCGCCCATCCTTTCCTTTGCAACACCAGAACACCACTTCATCTCTCATATTCTGTCCTCCCCAAATAGACATACAACAGACCCCCTTCAAACTACAACTCCCATGAGCCCTTGGATGCTCTGCATCACTATAGCTTATAAGGCCATGATGCCATGACCTCATGGGATTTGGAGTCCACTCACCTCCCACTGCCCCCAGGTCTGACCTAAGCTCCTACCTGCTGGAAGGGGGCCCATCTCACCTGTGGATGCAAGGAGGCTCTGTGCCCAGCTGGTCACATTGTTCCTCTCTGCCCACACGCTGAGGTTGTACAGGGTCCCGGGTTCCAGGGCCTGTACCTCATAGCGAGTCTCATTGGTTCTGCCTATCTGGCTGGCCTGATGTTCTCGGGGGTCTTGCTCTCCTTGGGGATGTCCCCCAGGGGCCCACTGGACCCAGTATGTGTAGGTCTGAGAGTGGGAGTCTGTGGGGGCCTTCCACCCCAGGGTGATGGAGCTGTTGGCCTGAGTTTCGTTGTGCAGATCCGTGACTCTGTTGGGAGCTGACAAGTGAGGAGGGGATGTTGGAAACACACTCCACACCTGCTCTGCCCCAGCGCACCTGTAGGCATCCACACTAGGTGATGGAGGACAGTGTCTCCTGCATCTCAAGGGCTCTGTCTTCTAGTGCAATGTCCATGATGTTGGATCTTCTGAACATGTCACATCCTCCCAGCCCACTGGACCCAGTCATGGAGGATGAGGCCAAAATACGGAGCTGGCCAACTGAGTCTGGAGACCAGAAACCTGGACTCCGATACTTTAGGGTATTTCTTGACTTCTGAAACTCTAACTCTCAGAGGTAGATCAGGAAAATGTGATGATTGTACATCCTTGTTGCTAAGGAGAGACACTCCCTAGCACCAGGGCTCCTCCCCTTGAGATCAAATGGACACTCCAGTTCCTAGGGAAGATCTCAGAGGCCAGATCAGCCCCTTCCTACAACCCCAGAAGTGCCAAATCCTAAACAGGTATGAGTCTCGTCTGTGGCATGTCAAAGACTTGGATATTGCTGCTGGCTTCACTCCTTCTCACCAGGACGGCAAAGGTGTGTAGGACCCCACTTCCCGGTCTCTCTTCCATGACCCATGTCCCTGAGCTGCTCAGGGTCTCACTGGTGAAATCTGGCTCCCACCACTGGATTCAGTAGGTGTCAGGTGGATGGTCTGAGCCCAGGAAAGCTGTCTGGGTCAAGGTGGCAGGGCTCATACTGTAGTTCTAAATCTCCAGGTTTGTCTCTGGATCAGAGATAGAGGGAGCAGAGTGGGCATTTCCACATCCCTAAGCAGATGCACCACACCTGGACAGACCTGGTTGCTAAGAAGGGTGTTACCTAGAAATAGGTCCTGGAAGGCGGAAGTCTGATGGGGTGTCAGTCTGGGGCCCAACATTCCTGGATCTTTGAGCCAAGGGCCCCATGGACATCATTTCCTCTCCTCTTCCTTAGATTCAGCTTCAGGGGTGACCACATCTCACTTCTGGACCCTGCCTATCTGTCTCAACAAGGCCATGGGAGTGTGGGCTTCCACCATACTCTACTGGAGCCATGTCTTTACTTTTTTTTCTTTTTAAGATTTTTATTCATTTTTTCTTTTCTTTTTTTTAAGATTTTATTTATTTATTCATGAGAGACAGAGAGAGAGAGAGAGAGAGAGAGAGAGAGAGAGGCAGGGACACAGGCAGAGGGAGAAGCAGGCTCCATGCAGGGAGCCTGATGTAGGACTCGATCCCAGGACTCCAGGATCACACCCTGGGCTGAAGGCAGGCGCCAAACCGCTGAGCCACCCAGGGATCCTCTGTATTCATTTTTTCATGAGAGACACACACATACAGCGAGAGGCAGAGACATAGGTAGAGGGAGAAGTAGGCTCCATGCAGGGAGCCCAATGTGGGACTCAATCCCAAACCCCAGGTTCATGCCCTGAGCCAAAGGCAGATGCTCAACCGCTGAGCCACTCAGGCGAAACGAGCCATGTCTTTACTAACCAGCTCCTACCATTGCCTCGAAGCTGGCAGTGGTTTTGGCTATTCCTCACTCGGTGACTGCTGTGGATTGCGTTGTGCCTCTCAAAGAGATAATGTCCACATCCTAACCCCCCAGTGCCTGTGAATGCAACCATGATAGGAGATAGGGTCTTTGCAGATGTAATCAAGTGAAGGTGAGTTCACATTGAGGAGAATGAGCCCTAAATCCAATGACTGGTTTCCTCAGAAGGAGAGAGAAATTTGGACAGGAAGAATGCCATGAAAAGCTAGAGGCAGAGATTGGCGTGATGAGTCTTCAACCAATGAATGCCAGAGATTGCCAACAATCACCAGAAGCTAGAAGAGACTAGAAAAGATTCTTGAGGCTCTGAAGAGTGCGTGACAAAACCTCAATTTTGGAATTCCAGCCTCCAGAGCTGTGAGACAACATGTTTCTGTTGGTTTATGCTCCTCAGTTGGCGGCACTTTAGG